ACGCGCTTCAGGTTCAATCACAGTTTGCACACGTTTTGAAACTGCAGACATCGACACCCTTTGACGAAAATGACTTTTATACCTGGTCATTCGAGTTTGAGCTGATGATGGAAGGCGCGCAGATTATCAGATTCTTCGACGGATCCATGCCATACCCAACACACGGGACGCAGTACGACAAGCAACAATACACGTATCAGTCGCTGATGGCGTACACCATTCTTCTGTGAAACATAACGCCGAACGAGCAGCAGAACATTCGGTCTTATCGTGGATACGGAAACTCCGCCGAGCTCGCGTACAACCACCTAAAGAACCTGCATCAAGCAACAGACAGTGTTAATCAAAGTCGTCTCATGGCACAGCTGACAACAGTGGAAATGAAACCCGGCGAAAAGGGGATGGCGTATATCAGCCGTTGTCGTGGACTGCACGACAGACTCCTTTGTCAGAATATTATGCTCTAGCCTGTAGTGGGGTGCTCTATAGCGAGTACAACTCTTCTAGGGTTTTGCTATTTGTATCCCCATTCTTGCTAGTGCAACCCTCCTTCTTCTTTTTAAACTTTCTCATGCTATCAGAGCAGGTCGATCCCCTTGGATCGATCCTGTGGGTGGGCTCACCACCCTGTTGCTTCCGCTGCAACTGCTACTGCTACTCTCTGTGCCGCACGCCCCGTGGCGTGCGGCAGTTTTTCTTCCCGCCGTGCGCCCCGAAGCGCGCGGCGGTTTTCTGCCCGCCGTGCGCCCCGAGGCGCGCGGCGGTTTTCTGCCCGCCGTGCGCCCCGAGGCGCGCGGCGGTTTTCTGCCCGCCGTGCGCCCCGAGGCGCGCGACGGGTTTCTGCCCCGTCACTCGCCGCGTCGCCCCCGGGAGGCGCTGCGACGGGCGACGGGGACCCGCACGTCGCCCCGTCGCGCGGCCCCTGCAGCCCCGTCGCGCCGCCCAGGGGAGCCGCGCGCGGCCCCTGCTGCCCCGTCGCGCGGCCCTGCTGCCCCGTCGCGCTGCCCAGGGGAGCCTTGCGCGGCCTCTGCTGCCCCGCCCCGTCCCGGACCTGCCCCGGCCCCGACCTGCCCCGGCCCAACTCCCGTCGCCCGTCGCGGCGCCCTGGGGGGGGCGTGCAACCCTCTTCTTTCTTCTAAACTTTATCATCCTTCGATGCGGAGGATCGATATCCGAAGAAGCCTTCGTGACAGTTTTCATCAGTGGCCTCGGTCCTCATTGGCGCTCCACTCGAGCTATCCTCCCAACTCATGGGAAGATCTCCGAAGCGGCATTCTGCGCCGAAATTCATGCTGAACAACAGGACATGGACCTACACGAAGAATGACATAAGATAAGAGCGCCAGCACCGGAGTTCGCGTTTCACACTCAACAGCGCTACAACAACAACAACAATCTACATAACAAACTTCAAGCTCAACAGTGCGTACCGCCGTTCTGCCATCTCTGTAAGATGTCAGGACACCCTCGCACACACTGCCCAAATCAACAGCAGTCAACGCCGCCGCAACGTCAACTTCGGCCCTCAAGCAGTCAAGTTGCTTCTACGCAAGCGCATCCCACCAATCAAGTACAGTCTTCAACGACATCGACGACAAAACATGCACAAGGCGCAAGAAACATCTTAAGCTGCATGGCAAGAACAACAGACTCCTGCATTACCGGATCGCCACCATACTACTCACCAGAAGAACAGCTCGACGAAAGCAACCCTCGCCGTGAATCATTGGAGTCGAATCCGACGTACGCAACCATCGCCCGGAGCGAGCCGTCCGGGAAAGACACCTGGTTCTTGGACAGCTGCTGCGGACAGCACATGTGCTCCTCGGGTCGCTTCGTTCAACGGGAACACCAACTTCAGCGCGAGGTCGTAATCACTGTCGCCAACAACCAGAACCTGCGCACACAACGACAGGGAATAGTTCAACTCCAGTCTCGAGAAACCAACGTTATTCTGCAGATGTCAAAAGTTTTAATCGCAGAAGGACTCGGCTATAACTTACTCAGCGTTAGTCAACTATTGGCGAAGGGAATTCATCTCGAAGCAGACAGCACCACCAGGAGTTCAAGCTGTACCACGGGAAGGGTGGACTCTACATCGGCAAGGCAGTCTTGAAGAACAATGTCTTCGTTCTTGACTTCGTTCCAGACCAAGGCACCGCCGACAGTGACGCTATCGTCAACTTCACCTCTTGGACACACCCGCCAGATCTCGACCCCGACTTCAGTCCTGGAGGCTTCTGGTACTCGCATACTATACCTGAAGCAGAACGAACGAGAGCATTAGTAACAATCCAACAAACATCGGCAGCAGCAGAGACAACACCGGCAGCAGCAGAGACAACAACGCCAGCAGCAGAGACAACCTCGGCAGCAGCAGAAACAACACCGACTACGACACCAATTGCGGGTCCTTCAACGGCACCAGTCTTCATCGATGATACTCCACCAACTCCTGCACAGCAGTTGACTCCCACTTCATGCGAAGTTCACAGAAGCGCCAACCTCACCGCGGGATTCTACTCCAACTCCGATCTGTACAGGCGTGCACCAGGACACCGGGCCAGCGAATCCATCTGGCATGCAAGGATGGGACACCCGAGCAACACAACATTAAACAACACGATAAGAGCTGGAGTCCTCGACAAAGACTCACTGTTACTACACGACGGCAGAGAACTTCAACGAGTTCGCGGAACATGTTTTACCTGCCCTGAAGCCGACTTACCCCACCAGCCGTTCGTCTCTCATCACAACCCTAGCGCACCTGCATACGCACCACTGGATAAGGTTTACAGTGACATACTGTTCAACCGTGAAAGCGGACAAGGAGCCTACAACTACGTCATCACGTTCATCGACGCCGCCACCCGATACGTCTGGCACCTCAACCTTTCGAGCCGCGACATGGCTTTCGAAGCTTTCGTCGCCTGGCTTCCAGTAGCAAGAAGGGAATCAAGAGTGAAACTGAAAAGCTTCTAGTCAGACGGAGGAGGAGAATATCAGTCACAACGATTCACGCAGTACCTGGCAGGGAGAGGCATCAAGCGGCTCATCTCGCTTCCCTACGCTCATCAGCAACAAGGCGTGGCAGAAAGAATGAACAGGACCCTCCATAACACCATGCGCAAACTGCTACGTGGCATGCGGCTACCCAACCACCAGTGGCCTGAGGCGATGGACCACGCTGCCATGCTGCACAACTTGCTCTCGTCATCATCGCTCCCGAACAACGCATCACCGCATCTGCTGTGGACAGGAAAATTGGGCAGCACAAGCAAGCAACGCAGGAGCAGTTTTTTGTCCCTTCATCATACCCCAGTACACACTTGGTACCGCAGTGCCCGGCTGGACCCCACCATTGTCTTTAGGGGTTACTAAGGGGGTCTGTGTGTTGGTGGTAGTGGTAGAACTGGCTATTGAGTGGTAAATGGGAATGGGATTTCTAGAAACATTTTGATACCTTAGCAAGCATCGTGTTGGATATATGTACATCTACTGGCTATGAGTCACTCTCGCATTGCCTCACACTTCCACACCTCTCCCCTCTCATTCGACATTGTCCACTGTGTGGTGTCTTGGGTTCTCAAATGACCTTCTCAACAATAAGGTTGTTCAGCACGAGTATGTGTGAGAGGTGTTGAATAGGAATCAAGTAACTGTCTCCTCTCGAGAAGCAATAACCATTCCATTTTCTGAAATTACTCATGTTGCAAATTTAAGCTGACATTATTCGAGTGACAGTGTGACTTATAGCACACCACTCTAGAGGGTGTTTCCCGCTCATGAGAACCACCCGAGCTTCCATAATCAGGGCACAAAGCAAAACCTGACACCATTGGTTGGTTGGCTGACAACCCTCCATACCGAAGGTTGTGCACAGAGCAATCGGCGGTCCCTACGAGACTGACATTTCCATCTCCTTATCGTGGCCGTTGGTGATGATAGTTGAGCTGGTCCCGCTCAACCCGTAATTGCGGTTGCGGGTGAAAGGGAGAGGGGAGATAATTGCAATTAGGCCTGGGATTCAATTGGGTCAGGTCAGGACTCAAGAAGCGGGAACCTTGAACAAGCACGCAGGCAGAGCTTCACCTACAGACAGATGTGTGATGCCACGCGATGAGGAATATCACGATACAGGTACATCTCTCCGACTCATAGAGTTGTCAACAGCTAGAGTCGGTAAGGTCAGTCTGGTTGACGTGAGGCTTTATACAGCTGCGTTCACAACAGCAGCATTGCAGCACTCTTCGTAGCGGTTCGTGCTTCTAAGTCGATTCGAAACTATTGAGACTTCTGCACTTGAACAGACGCAAGGTTACTTGCATTCGAGGCAACAGTATAAATCATCAGTAATCAATCTGAGCGAGTTTTACATAGAAAGTACGTCGTCAACCATCAGCCATTCACCATGCTATCTGCAGCAGAGCGTATGGCGAAAGTGGTGAACTGGCAGCAGACGGCAATCGTGTCAGCCGTCCTGATCGCCACCACTATAATCGCTAGCCAATGCTGTAAGCCCCGGCTCCCGCGTCGCTCTTCTTTCCTCAATTTCGTTTGTTTGTCCTTTTTTTTTTCTAGTTCATTTAGGAAGTCACCACACCCACATTATTACCATCACATATTCCCATTGTCAACTTAGCGAACAACCCCTACAAGATCTCTTATATAGTTTTTGTTTGCATGACGTAATACTAGCATTTTCACACCACATTTAGTCTCATCGCGGCTACACCTAACGCTTCCATCCTTATCCCTCTGTATAACTCATATCGCTGATGCACCGTGCAGACACTGCTTCTTGGAATGACAATGCGAGCCGACCAACTGACGGCTGCAATATCGCTGCCAGTGACCAGCAAGGCTCTCAGAATCCCTCGAGATTCCACATTCGGGACTACGGCCTCCAGGGACCCATTCCCTGGACGTACATTCGACCGTCCGTTCGCGAAGAGTTCACGGTCAACGGTTCGATCCAGGCCGTTGATCACTTCTACGGCATGGATAAGCATGACTCCGGAGTGAAGCCTATCGTTTGGCCGACCGAGGATATCGACCTAAGACGGCAACGGGCAGAGGCGCGACTCCCTCAGGTTTCTGCTTACGGCGCAAATACAACCTTAACTTTCTACGAGGCGTTTGATAAGTACCCCGTGAAAGGGAAATCGGTGCTGGTGGTGGGGAGTCAAGTCCCTTGGCTCGAGGCAATTCTCTTGGCGTATAAAGCTGGGTCGATCACGACCGTTGATTTTAACAAACCAGTTGCAGATTATCCCGAATTGAGGCTGTGGAGTATTCCCGAGCTGGACGCTACAGATGAGACCTTTGACGTGGTAGCTTCTTATTCGTCGCTGGAGCACGATGGGCTGGGGAGATATGGCGATCCGCTAAACCCGGATGGGGATCGGCTCAGAATGAAGAAGGTAAGTCTGCTGAGGTGCTTGGGGTTGGGTATGCGGTTTCCTCGTATGGGTTGCCTAACCGTGCTTCCCACGTGTTTGATCTCTGCTAAAAATGTATGTATCCTGCCACGTGTTTGCATCAGCTGATGCGTGCGTGTCCTTACTATTCATGTTACCCGTATTAAACCATCTCCTCTCACATCATTCTACGTCGTTCTGCCGTTTGAGCCGCCTCAAAGTCCTGCCATCCCTGGTTTTACGCTCCCAAAACTCACATGTTCTCATGTCATTCACATTTTCACTTGCCACGTTATATGCCATGTAACTTGCCATGTAGTCTGTCATGTCATTTGCAATTTGATCTGCCATGTCATTTGCCATGACCTCTGACATATCCTCCCCTTGCGGCTGGTGCCAATCCCTTGCATCCCCTCCTCCCCGTTTTGGCTGGGCAGATCAGGGGCCTCCTCAAGCCAGGAGGGCTCTTCTTCCTGGGGCTCCCAGTGGGCAACGACACGCTGGTGTTCAATGCGCATCGGGTGTACGGTCCCATCCGCATGCCGCTCCTGCTCGAGGGATGGAAGCTGCTGGGAGTGTTTGGGGTGTCCAGTCTCGAAGCAGCTTATAGGGAGAACCTGAAAGCGCAACTTTTACAGCCGGTCATGGTGCTGAGGTAGAGGTTGCTGTTTTGCCACAGCATTGCATGCTCTCAGCAGCCCAAACTACCAATGCACAGCTGCCAATCCCAAAAAGGGGGAATCTCGCCCCTCAGATTCTCTGTGGGCGACCACAATGCTTGATTTTTAAAACTCGAAGTAAGCGCAGAGTGTATTAGGAATGGGCTAATTCTCTTCAGCAGCAATGAGTTTGCTTGCTTATAGGTCTCCAAGATTGTTAGAGGGCCTCAGGTATGTTAATGTCAGTTTCTGCCTTTTAGTTAGTGTGTTTCCAATTACGGTACAGCTGAAGCACCTCTGGCTGCCTCTCTTGTCATCTTGGACTGGCATTCTGATCTGGCATGGCCTGGCCTGGTCTATCCCATGACATGCAACAAACTCTAAGAGTTGTGTAAACAGGTGAAGGTCACGACAAGGTAGAAATACATGCAATATGAATTGTCATACCGAAAGAAGTCTTCCATGACAAATGTACTGTACTCTTTGAAAAGAAAACTTCGATGAAATAACTTAATTTCAATGAAGGCACTTTCACACCAAGGGTAAGGAGGATAAATCTACCACCACTGTTGCAAGAAACCAGACGGGCTTTCAAACGACACAGGCTCTACAACTGATCGCATTCACTCGTAAGCTCGAGGTCGGAGCGCTCATTCAAATCGTCTTGAGACTTGAGTCCTCCGCCTGCTCCTAAGATTGCATGGCCGCAGCGCTCGCGTATCGCGCCATTCACGCCGTGCCGCCTCTTCGATCGCCAACGGTCCTTGCGTGCCTCAAAGCCAGACCGCCAGCGCACATCCGCGCTTCGAACCGCGCGTCTCCGGTGGTGCTCCTGAGTCCGTCCGAAGCGCCTCGGCCGCTGCGCCATTACCGCGCGTCTCGACTAACCCATCAAATCGTCGCATTCCCCGCCCTCCCCGCTCAAGCCGCCGGCCCTCCCGCGCGTTCGCGCAGGCGACTCCTTCCCGTGCGATCGATGGCGACTGCGACCGATGCGACTGCTGGCGACGCTCCCGGAAAAGTGAGCAACTGAATCGCCTATCACTTGTTGTATTCTATGAGCCGACTAAAAAATCGCCAATAAGTGTGTGGCTAGTATTCTATAAAGCGCCTCGAGAACGGGCCTCTCAAGTGGTTATCAGTGGCTTTTGGGATTTCTAAATAACGACTCAGATTATAACGAGGTGCTTCACTCGTTATCAAGGAGTTGGAACCGTCCGATTCACGCCTCGAGATCGTCTCTCCCTTCGTTGGATCACCTCAAATCACCTAGCAGATCCCACTGGATCCCACTGGATCCCATTTGAATCCCATCGGATCCCGTTGAATCTTGTTGAATCCCGTAGGATTTCGTTGGATCGCGTTGGAACCCGCATATGGGGTCACCTCAAAGCAAGGGCCACGCTCCTCAATGCGGTGTGGATACATTCTGCATTCCTTGCTGCGGGTCATGGTGTGTGCCGTGCTGTACTGGGGTGTCTTGTCTTGAATGCGACTACACTCTTGGATCCCCGTTGGATCACTATGAATCTTATCGGATCGCGTTGAATCCCGCAGATGGGATCACCTCAAAGCAAGGGCCACGTTCCTCAATGCGGTGTGGATGCATTCTGTATTCCTTGCTGCTGGTCGTGGTGCGTGCCGTGCCGTGCTGGTAGCAAGCAGCTCCTCCTTCCCGCCTGCCTTCTCCGCTGAACCCACCCGTTGCGCATTGCACACTTCAACATGGCATCGCGCTGTGCCAGCTGGCAGCTCTTCCTTCCGCTGAACCCACCCGCTGCTCATTGCACACTTCAACATCGCATCGCGCTGTGCCAGCTGGCAGTGGGTGGGTGCTGTGCTGATGACTGAAGCCCACAGATGCTCTTCCTCTCTTCCACCCACCTACTCGCTCGCCCGCCCCTCCCCCACCCACCCGTTGCCATTCGCAGTTCACGATCGCGCTGTGCCAGCTGGCAGTGGGTGGGTGGTGACACCTGGAACGCACTGATGTTCCCTCCCTCCTCCACCTTCCCACCCACCCACCCACCCCTCCCTGCCAGTTCAAGATCGCGCTGTGCCAGCTGGCGGTGGGTGCTGACAAGGCGCGCAACATCGAGCATGCGAGGGACGTGATTGGCCGCGCTGCGGACCAGGGCGCTAGGCTCGTGCTGCTGCCGGTACTGGGGGAAAGGGGGGGGGGTGGATGGGAGGGAAAGGGAGGATGGGGGCGGGATGGGGGGGGCGGGGGGGGGGGGGATGAGGGGGAGATGGGGAAGGAATGAGGGGGATGGGTGGCGGAGAGGAGAAGGAATGGGCGATACAGTTGTCTGTGCTGTGGACTAGGGTGGTAAGTTCGTGCTGCTGGTTGTACGGGTGGAGGGGGGGTGGAGAGAGGGGAAGGGTGGAGAAGAGCGGAGACGGGGAAAGGGAGAGACGAGGGCGCATGGCATGATTGGCTGTAAAGCTCGTGCTGCTGCCGGAATGGGTGGAGAGGGTGGGGAGACAGCGGGGGAGGAGAGTGGGAGGGAGGGAGTGGGGACGGGGAAGGGGAGAGGAGAGGGCGCACTGCATGATTGGCTGTAAAGCTCGTGCTGCTGCCGGTATGCGTGGAGGGGGGGTAGAGAGGGGAGGGGGGAAAGAAAGGGAGAGTGAAAGGGAGAGGGGACGGAGAGTAGGAGGATGGTGGCATGGTGGCATGGTGGCAGGGGTTGAGTGAGTTGTGCTACGTTTTGCAGTGTAGTGTGGGAGTGTGTTGATGTGTGAGTGTGTTGATGTGTGAGTGTGTTGATGTGTGAGTGTGTTGATGTGTGAGTGTGTTGATGTGTGAGTGTGTTGATGTGTGAGTGTGTTGATGTGTGAGTGTGTTGATGTGTGAGTGTGTTGATGTGTGAGTGTGTTGATGTGTGAGTGTGTTACATGTGGGATTGTATTGGTGCGTGAGTGTTTTTTTAGTAATCGATTCCATTCCCTCCCATTTCCCTTTACTTCTTATCAGTCCCCTTTATTCTCCCCCATTCACTTACTCCACCCCATATCCCCGTATTCCCCCTCATTTCCCCTAGTTCTACCTTATCTCCCTTCATTGCCCCTCCTACCCTCCCATACCCCCCCTACCCTCCCATTCCCCCCGTTCCCCTTTTTTCCTGCTTCTCAATCCTACTCCTCATCCCCCCAACCTTCCTCCCACCCTCTCTTCCCTCCTCATTGCTTCCTTTCCCACCCCCCTCCCCGCCTGCCCCCTTCCCTTCCCCACCTTCCCCCCTCCCCCTCGTTTCTCCGCCTACCTTTCCTACCCTCTCATACCCCTCCTACCCTCCCTCATTTCCAGGAAATGTGGAACTGCCCTTATTCCAACGACAATTTCCCCACTTACGCGGAGGAAATTTCCCCGGAAGATTCCTTCGCCTCCTCCCCCTCCGCTGCGATGCTCGCTGACGTGGCGGGCCGGCACGGCGTGACTGTAGTGGGAGGTTCCATTCCCGAGAGGAGGGAGGGGCGGCTGTACAACACGTGCCTTGTGTTTGGCAGCAAGGGGGAGTTGAAGGGTCGGTTCAGCAAGGTGAGGGTGGTTTGGATGTGACTATGTGCAGGTGTGACTGTAGGCAGGATAAGACTATGGCAGGTAATTCTATTCCTAGGAGGAGGGAGGGGCGGCTGTGCAACACGTGCCTTGTGTTTGGCAGCAAGGGGGAGTTGAAGGGTAGGTTCAGCAAGGTGAGGGATGTGTGACTATGGAGAGGTGTGACTGTAAAAAGGTGTGACTGTGGAGAGGCGTGACTGAAGACAGGGTGCGACTCTGTAACAGGAAGTACCAGTTGTGGGGCGGATCTATTGCGGAAAAGAAGAGGGAGGGGCGGCTGTACAACACGTGCCTTGTGTTCGGCAGCAAGGGGGAGTTGAAGGGTCGGTTCAGCAAGGTGAGGGAGGTGTGACTGTGGAGAGGTGTGACTGTGGAGAGAGGAAGGGGAAAGGAGGTGGGGGAAGGGAGAAGGAAAGAAGGTGGGGAATGTAGAGGGCGGTTGAGTACGGTGGGGTCATGTTTGAGCATTCTTGCTTTTGAGCATTCTTGCTTTCTCCTCTTCTCCCTCTCACCCACCCACCCGCCTTTGAGAATTCTCAAAAGCTGTCCCGCACCCACCCGCCCTTCCCATTCCCTCCCCCCCCAAACCCCCCTTTTTCCCCCCTCCCCCGTCCCCCTGTCCCCTCCCCCGCTCCACTCCCCTGTGCCCCCTCCCCCTCACCGTCTTCCCTGTCCCCCCTCAGCTGCACCTGTTTGGCATTGACATCCCTCGCTCCCCCTTCCCCTCTCACCTGCACCCCGTTCTCTTCCCCTCTTGTCCCCTTACCCCCCTCCCCTGTTGTCAGCTACATTTGTTTGACATTGACATCCCGGGGAAGATCACATTCAAGGAGTCTGACACGCTCACACGTGGCGAGCACCCATTGGTCATTGACACAGGTGGGCTGCCCGTGTGTGTTTATCTAGTCAGTGCATGTATTGTCAAGTAACAGGTTTCTATTCTCAAGCAATGTGCTGCGATGAGAGTAATGTCCCGTCGTTGTTGTGTGAAAGTGATCAAGTGTCCCCCCATCAGCTACATTTGTTTTGAGCCAGTCTCAAAAGAGTCTGAGTCACTTTTGAGAATTCTCAAAAGTCTCCAAAGAAATCGCTTATCACGTGGCTTTATGCTCAAGCCATGTGTTGTTGCTGCTGCCTTCCTTCCATGTTGTGTGTGCAAGAAATGTTTGCTCTCTTCTTTTCTCTTCTCTCCTCTTCTCTTCTCTTCTCTTCTCTTCTCTTCTCTTCTCTCCTCTTCTCTTCTTTTCTCTTCTCTCCTCTTCTCTTCTCTTCTCTTCTCTTCTCTTCTCTTCTCTTCTCTTATCTCCTCTTCTCTTCTTTTCTCTTCTCTCCTCTTCTCTTCTCTTCTCTTCTCTTCTCTTCTCTTCTCTTCTCTTCTCTTCTCTTCTGTCCAATCCGCCTCACTCTCCTCTCATCCCTCCTTTACCCCTCTCCAATCCCCCAGACGTGGAACGGGTGGCAGTGCGCATATGCTATGACACCCGCTTCCCTGACCTCGCTTCTGTCTGAGGTTCCTTCCCTGCTCATTCCCTGAGCTCGCATAGCTTGACACGCCTCAGTAGAGTTTCCAGGCCTCTCAATACTCGAATGAACCTCCCTGCCCGCTGCACTCCCCTCTGCTCCCCCCAGACGTGGCGCGGGTGGCGGTGGGCATATGCTACGACATCCGCTTCCCGCCGCTCTCCCCTTCACTTCTCCACCCTACTCCACTCCCCTCTTCCATCCTTCAGACGTGGCACGGGTGGCGGTGGGCATATGCTATGACATCCGCTTCCCTCCGCCCTCCCCTTCACTTCTCCGCCCTACTCCACTCCCCTCTCCCATCCTTCAGACGTGGCGCGGGTGGCGGTGGGCATATGCTACGACATCCGCTTCCCTGAGCTCGCAATGCTCTATGCCGCTCGAGGTGCGTTGCTGTTCTGTCCGCGGGTGGGGCTTCTGCTGCTAGCTATGCCCCCGATTCTCAAGACGTCTCGAGAGTCGATTCTCTGAGCTCGCATCGCAATGCTCTTCTATGCCGTTCGATAAATGTAGTGTTTTGAGACGTCTCAACACACTCCTTTTATCACAAGAATCTTTAGGCTGAGCTCGCAACGCAATGCTCTTCTGTGCAATTCGAGGTGCTCTCTGTTGCATGTGCAGGTGTTGCAGGGCGCCGGACAGTGGTATTCTAGTTGCTGCTGGCGCGACGTGTTGTTTCTAATTCACCATCTTTGTTGCAGTCGTTTCTCGAAAATTCCCCAGCGCTCTCTTTTCCCTTCAACCTCTTTGCCCTGCCCGCTCTACTTCCCTCCCCTCTTCTCCTCTCAGGCGCGCACCTCATCTGCTACCCGGGTACTTTCAACATGACCACTTCCCCCTTGCACTTCTTCCTTTCATTCTCTTTCCAATGCCCACGCCACACCCCCCACTGCCCTCTCTCCTCTCCTCTCAGGCGCACAGCTCATCTGCTACCCGGGTGCCTTCAACATGACTACGGGACCGCTGCACTGGCAGCTGCTACAGCAGGCCAGGTGGGTGGGTGGGTGGGTGGGTGGGTTGGAATTAAGTGCACCGGCAGCTACCGCACTGACAGCTGCTGCAGCAAGGTAGTTTTGCTCGGGCAATGGGTGGGTCGGATGGGAGGGTTTGAGGGTCTAGCAGCTGGGTGTAGAGCTGCAGGGAGTTTGTGTTTTGAGGCGCCTCAAAACACACCTGAATTCTCAAAAACTCCCTGCTGGGTGTAGAGCTTTCGGGCTGGGAGCTTGTAAGTTGTAACCACCCTCTGCACCCTGTGCAGCTTGTCCCCTCTTCCCTCCCCTCTCCCCTCCCCTCTCCCCTCCCCTCTTTCCCCCCCTCTCCCCTTCCCTCTCCCCTCCCCTCTCCCCTCTCCCTTCTCCCCTCTCCCCTCTCCCCTCTCCCCTCTCCCCTCTCCCCTCTCCCCTCTCCCCTCTCCCCTCTCCCCTCTCCCCTCTCCCCTCTCCCCTCTCCCCTCTCCCCTCTCCCCTCTCCCCTCTCCCCTCTCCCCTCTCCCCTCTCCCCTCTCCCCTCTCCCCTCTCCCTCTCCCCTCTCCCCTCTCCCCTCTCCCCTCTCCCCTCTCCCCTCTCCCCTCTCCCCTCTCCCCTCTCCCCTCTCCCCTCTCCCCTCCCCTCTCCCCTCCCTTCCCCTCTCCCTCTCCCCTCCCCTCTCCCCTCCCCTCTCCGCTCCCCTCCCCTCTCCCCTCCCGTCTTCCCTCCCCTCTCCCCTCCCCTCTTCCCTTCCCTCTCCCCTCCCCTCTTTCCTCCCCTCTCCCTTCCCCTCTCCTCTCCCCTCTCCCCTCCCCTCTCCCCTCTCCTCTCCCCTCCCTCTCCCCTCTCCTCTCCCCTCCCTGTCCCTTCCCCTCTCCCCTCCCCTCTCCCCTCTCCCCTCTCCTCTCCCCTCCCTCTCCCTTCCCCTCTCCCCTCTCCGCTCCCCTCTCCCCTCTCCCCTCTCCCCTCTCCCCTCTCCCCTCTCCCCTCTCCCCTCTCCCCTCTCCCCTCTCCTCTCTCTCCTCTCCCCTCTCCCCTCTCCCCTCTCCCCTCTCCCCTCTCCCCTCTCCCCTCTCCCCTCTCCCCTCTCCCCTCTCCCCTCTCCCCTCTCCCCTCTCCCCTCTCCCCTCTCCCCTCTCCCCTCTCCCCTCTCCCCTCTCCCCTCTCCCCTCTCCCCTCTCCCCTCCCCTCTCCCCTCCCCTCCCGACCCCTCTCCCCTCCCCTCTACCCGCCCCTCTCCCCTCTCCCCTGCTGCCACCATGAATTCATCGCCCCTCTCTCCCTCTCCCCCCTCCCCCTCCCGCCTCCTGCACTACCCCCCCTCTCCTCCGGCTCTTCTCTCCCCACGATTTCACCCCTCCTCTTCCTTCTCCACGTCTTCTCCCCCACTACCACGCCGATGCCACTACTGCCGCTGTCACTTTTGGAGACGTCTCAAAACTCCCCGTCCCCTCTGGCTCTTCTCTTCCCCCGTTTCCACCCCTCCCATTCCTGCCTACGGCACCACTACCACGCTGATGCCACTCCTGCCGCTGTCACGGCTGCGGCTGCTGCTGCCTCTGCTATGGCTGCTGCTGCCATGGGGGTTTGACATGCCAATGGGCGCTGTGCTCCTCATCACACCTACAGGGCAGTGGACAATCAGGTGGGTTCGATTGTTTTCACTGCTATGAATCTGTTTGTTTTTTTTTTTTTTTTTTTTTTTTTTTTTTTTTTTTTTTTTTGCTTTTGCGCCTTCATTTCCATTCTTAAAGTACGAGTTCTGTGAAAATCTCGTGTGTAGGGTGGCTTATATACACACTGTTTGTCACACTCAGGCTTACCTCACGCACCCACCTTCCCCCTTCCTCCCCTCCCCCCTCCTGCCCTCCCCCCATCCATTCCCCCTCCCCACACCGTCTTACCTCCCCTCCTGCCCTTTCTGCATTCCAGTTGTTTGTTGCCACGTGTTCACCTGCCCGGGATGACTCAGCATCGTACCGAGCCTGGGGTCACTCCACCCTGGTTGGGCCGGTGAGTGCAAGGGGAAGGAAAGGGGAGGGAGGCGAAGGCTTGGTTGCTGGGTGGTTGGTTGGGTGGGTGGGTGGGTGGGTGGGTGGGTGGGTGGGTGGGTGGGTGGGTGGGTGGGTGGGTGGGTGGGTGGGTGGGTGGGTGGGTGGGTGGGTGGGTGGGTGGGTGGGTGGGTGGGTGGGTGGGTGGGTGGGTGGTGGGTGGGTGGGTGGGTGGGTGGGTGGGTGGGTGGGTGTGTGGGTGGGTGGGTGGGTGGGTGGGTGGAAGGGGAAGGGGAAGGCTTGGTTGCCAGGTGGGTAAGTGGGTGGATGGTTGGGTGGATGGATGTGTGGGCATGACCGTACATGCCATTTCACCCACCCCTCTCTGCTCTCTGTCCCCCCTGCCATTTCACCCACCCCTCTCTGCTCTCTGTCCCCCCTGCCATTTCACCCACCCCTCTCTGCTCCCTGCCCCCCATGCCATCTCACCCACCCCTCTCTGCCCTATGACCGAACCTGCTGTCAATTTGGGGAGATAGTGGCAACAACAGAGCATGAGGAGGCGCTGTGGTGGGCCAGGCGAGGTGGAACTTTGCCAAATTCGTGTGCTTGTCTCACCCCGCTAGCTAGCTAACCCCTCTCTGCCCTCTGCCCCCCATGCCATCTCACCCAACCCTCTCTGTCCTATGACTGCGCGTACCATCTGACCGCCAGTTTGGGGAGATAGTGGCAACAACAGAGCATGAGGAGGCGGTGGTGGTGGGAGAGGCGAGGTAGACCTTGCCGAGTTCGTGTGCTTGTCTTGCCTTGCTAACCCCTCCCTGCCCTCTGCCTGCCATGCTTGTCGTTAGTTTGGGGAGATAGTGGCAACAACCGAGCATGAGGAGGCGCTGGTGGTGGGAGAGGTGGACCTGTCTCAGATTGACACTCGCAGGTGCGTGGAGGAACAGATGGCATGGCATGGCATGGCATGGCATGGCATGGCATGGCATGGCATGGCATGGCATGGCATGGCATTGCATGGCATGGCATTGCATGGCATGGCATTGCATGGCATGGCATTTCATGGCATGGCATTGCATGGCATGGCATTTCATGGCATGGCATGGCATGGCATGGCATGGCATGGCATGGCATGGCATGGCATGGCATGGCATGGCATGGCATTGCATGGCATGGCACGGTGCAGGCGGCACAGGTGGAACGGCGTGGCATGGCATAGTATGGTGCAAATGGCATGGGTGGTACGACAGGAGGGAATGGCTGTTGGTGGGCGAGATGAGCGTGGCTCCGACCGACACTCGCCGATGCATGGCTGTTTCCGTTGTTGTGGGATGGCAGAGCATGGCAGGGAATGGCATGGTATAATGGTGCAAGTTGCATGCGTGGTGAAATATGAAGGGATGGGGGGATGCTAATGGTGGGTGAGGTGGATTCTCGCATGTGGGGGGACCATGGGTTGCTCTCAATGCTACGCTTTCGCATGGCATGGCATGGCATGGCATAGGATGGGATGGTTATGGGTGGCATGGCATAGGATGGGATGGTTATGGGTGGCATGGCATAGGATGGGATGGTTATGGGTGGCATGGCATAGGACGGGATGGTTATGGGTGGCATGGCATAGGACGGGATGGTTATGGGTGGCATGGCATGGCATTACATTCAAGGAGCGGGATGCCTTGCTATGTGTAGTTACCTCTATGTGCATGTGTATCCGTCTGCATGTGCATTACTCCATGGCAGGCAAAACATGCCCATCAAGGTGCAGCGAAGAGCAGACCTCTATCAGCTCATTGACAAGACTGGCACTGATTGATAGGCCCACTGAACCGGCACCAACCGGCAACAACCGTGTACTTTTACAAACCTATGATAGGGATGAATAAGGGAGATACAGATGGCCTCTACCAACTCATTGACAAGACTGCTGCTGATCAATAGGTGTGCTGAACCACCAACCATGCTTGCTGAAAAAATGTGAATTGTGTTGGCCTGAGAAGAGGCTGTGAGATGACCAATGGTGGTTGCCCTGCCTGCCAAGAAACTAAGAGATTCCATCAGCGTTCAGTAGCTGTGCATTGGTACTGGTGGTTCGCTTTACTGCGGCAAACGTACGCATTACAGCGGCAAGCATATAGTCATTGTTTGACTTCTGAGTCGCGATCAAGCACACCTTTGTGGTGCCTGCTACTCTGTCAAACACTTCACACGCCAACAGTAGTCATAGCATATGCAGAAGGTGTATCGAGCTGCTCTCTGCGAATCAGGAGAGTTTGTACAATGCCGCTTGATGCAAGCAAAAGGTGTATCGAGCTGCTCTCTGCGAGTCAGGAGAGTTTGTACAATGCCGCTTGATGCAAGCAAAAGGCGTATCGAGCTGCTCTCTGCGAGTCAGGAGAGTTTGTATAATGCCGCTTGATGCAAGCAAAAGGCGTACCGTCATCGCCCGGATATAAGACATATATGTCTTATCTCATACCGGTACACTAGAAAAAATGTCTGGGTTGTCTTGTATTTGAGACGGTTTTGTCGAAAATAGTAGGCAGGAATGAATGAACTAGAACAGAGTTGGGTACAAATATGAAACCCTAATGGGGCTATGCCCCATGTTGGCTACCCCACTACAGCCTAGACATATATAGCATATATATCATTTGACACACCCCCATAAGCAAAGTGGGGGAGAGCAAGGGGTCACAAGACCAGTCAAGAGAGGCAAAGCAAGCTCAGGGTGGATCACAACGTCACCACACACACTGAGCACAAGCAAAGGGCCACAAGGCCAGTTCACATGCAGAGGTATATATGTAACAACAACAGCATAGTGATCTCTACCGAGCAAGAACAAGCATGCAGGTATATATATATAGATCACAGTACACACAAAGCCTACAGCAAGTGAGGAAACGTAGGCACAAGGCCCAACAAGGTACAAAAGCGCTGATGATCACCAGACGGAAGTGCCTTGGTGAATATATCAGCAGTGTTGGCCCGAGTGGCCACGTGAGCAAGACGTAGCTGACCACGCTGCTGCAGCTCTCGAGCAAGGAAGTAACGCAGAGCGATGTGCTTCGTTCTGTGCTCCAGTCTGTGCTCCTGACACAAGGCAATGACGGCCTTGTTGTCTACGTACAGCACTGGAGGAGAACGAGGCCGCTCTCCCAAGTCGGTCAGCAGGTAGGTAAGCCAGCGTAACTCCTGAGCAGCCATGGCTGTGGCGTAGATCTCAGCCTCGCAACTGGAGCTGAGAACAGAGGAAGAGCGTGTAGACCGCCAAGAAACAGAGCCAGAGCCATGGCTGAAGGTGTAACCCTGTGACGACCGCTGCGTAGCCAGGTCGTCTACCCAAGAAGCGTCTGAGTGACCAGTGAGGACAACGTCGCCCCGTCCTCCAAGCACGAGCCTCATGCCCGACGTACTGCACAAGTAGCGTAGTACCCTCTTAGCAGCATCCATATGCACCTTTCGGTGCCGACCAGGAGCCACGTAGCGAGCCAGAAGGCCAAGAGGGTATGCAAGGTCAGGACGAGTGCAGGTCATCAGGTACATGAGGCAGCCCACTAGCTCTGGGTAAGGACCACTCGGCTCTACGGACTCGTCCGAAGGTGGAGCTGAGAGCGAGTGACCTGTAGCCAGAGGAGTGGCCTGTGCTGAGGACCAGGTGAAGCCGAAGCGCTGAAGGACCTGCTGCACCATGTGTGACTGAGTCAGTGTGATGGTGCGGCGTGCTCTGTCCCGGGTGATCTGCAAGCCAAGGTAGCTGCGCAGCTCACCCAGGTCTGTGCACGTGTGTCTCTTCTGCAGCTCCGACTTCACCAGGGCGAGAGCCTCAGTGTCAGCAGTGGCAAAGACCAAGTCGTCGACGTACACGAGGATGTAGAACGGCGGCAGCGAAGTGTCGGTGCGCAGAAACAGCGACGGGTCAGCAGTCGACGGAGCAAACCCAAGAGCCGCAAGTGTCGTCCTCAGTGTGTCATGCCACTCACGCGGCGCCTGGCGGAGACCGTAGACTGGCCGCCGGAGGCTCCATTGGGTACCAGGAGGGAACGACCCAGTGAAGCCAGGTGGGCGGCGCAGCCAGATCTCCTCGTGCAGGCTGCCCTGTAGGAAGGCTGTGCTGAAGTCAAGAGAGTGAAGCTCGTAGTCACGCTGAGCCGCAATGTGCAGCAGCACCCGAAGAGTGGTCATCTTCGGGGTGGGGGAGAAGGTCTGGAAGAAGTCAACTCCCTCTCGCTGACTGAAGCCTCGAGCAACGTAACGAGCCTTGAAGACAGGCGGAGAACCCGGCGGCCGCTTCACCCTGAAAATCCACATGCCATCGACGATGTTCGCCCCAGGAGGGGGAACCTCATCGACATAGGTGCCTGTGGACTTCCAGGATGCCATCTCTGCGTCCATGGCTGTCTGCCACTGAGAGGAGTACTCACCCGCGATCGCCTCAGCGTAAGAGCGCGGGGTCGGGATGTCTGGAGCATCCGGGTCTCCCTCAGGGGCAAGCAGCATGGCCACGAGATGAGGCGCAGCGGCTGCAAGACACTCAAGGTCCTCCTGCCTGTCCTCAAGGACGTCCGTGCTAAGAGCACACTCACCCCCGACGGACGGAGGACAGACAGACTCAGACTCAGCAACAAGACTAGCGGCGTAGTCTAGACGACAGGCAGCAGCAAAGTCAACAAGCTCAGCGACGAAGGCAGACGCAGCAGCAGACTCAAACGACGGGTGAGTGACAACAGTGGCGAGCAGACGCGTGACAGTAGGGTGCTCAGCACGAAACCGGTCTGACTCAGGGTCAGCAATGACAGGCAGAGAAGACGCAGGAGGAGACGGCAGAGGAACACGCTGCGAAGCAGAGGAAGGACACAGAGCCATGAGGTGTGTGCCGGGGACAGCCGGCGGACGCGGACGAGGAACACGACGACCAGTACGACCAGTGCGGACAGTGCGAACAGGCGAGGCAGGACGAGACGCAGGCTCACGACGCTCAGCAAGACCTCCTGTCAGCTCAATGTAGGGAGAAAGAGCAGGCAGCGGTGAGCCAGGCTGTAATGGAAGACCAGTAGAAGACGTGAGGCTAAGAACCTGGCGAAGCACGGAGCCAGGCGGCGGCAGAGACGAAGGTGACGGCGGAGCGAAGAACAGTCGCGGCTGCGCAGTGCCACCAGCACCAGCAGCTCCAGCACCTCCAGCTGCTCCAGAGCCTCCAGCTCCAGCGCCTCCAGCGCCAGCACCTCCAGCAGCTTCAGAACCTCCAGCGCCAGCACCTCCAGCTCCAGTGCCTCCAGTAGCTCCAGAACCTCCAGCTCCAGCGCCTCCAGCGCCAGCACCTCCACCAGCTCCAGAGCCTCCAGCAGCTCCAGAACCTCCAGCGCCAGCACCTCCAGCAGCTCCAGAACCTCCATCGCCAGCACCTCCAGTGCCAGCACCTCCAGCAGCTCCAGAACCTCCAGCAGCGCAAGAACCTCCAGCGCCAGCACCTCCAGTGCCAGCACCACCACCAGCAGCAGCACCCCCAGAACCGGCACCTCCAGCCCCAGGGTCTCCAGCCTCAGTGTCGACAGCAGCACCTCCAGGTCCAGCACTACCTCCAGCCCCAACAGCTCCAGTACCTCCAGTACGAGCACCTCCGGGGCCAGGGGCTCCAGGAACTCCAGGAGAAACACCTCCAGTAGCAGAGTCACCAGCTCCAGGGCCTCCAACGCCAGTGCCCCCCGCAGCAGGGCCCCCAGCTCCAGCAGCGCGACCCTGACGGCGAACGTACCACTCACGCAGCTGCTGTGGGGAGAGCGGGACAGCGCCAGCTCCAGTGCCTCCAACCCCAGCGCCCTCCGCAGCAGGGCCCCCAGCTCCAGCAGCGCGACCCTGACGACTAGCGTACCACTCACGCAGCTGCTGTGGGGAGAGAGGGAGACGACAACGAGAGTGCAGCGGCGAGGCACCAGCGGAGCGACTACGGAGACGGCCGCTCCAGGGAGACTGCTCACCAGACCCCCCAGCGGCCCCAGGTGCAGCGCCCCCAGACTCAGTACCCCCAGGCTCAGCACCCCCAGGCTCCTCACGCTCAGGCTCAGCACCTCCAGTCTCCGCACCCCCAGGCTCAGCACCCCCAGGCTCAGCACCCCAAGAAGCAGCACCCCGAGCAGGACCACCCCCAGCAAGACCTGAGTCACCAGTGACCTCAACCGGCTCAGGCAAGGGAGGAGGGTCAACCTGAGACACACCTGAAGGAGCAGGACCGGGAGCGGGGAGGGGGTCTACCTGGGGAGAACCTGGAGCGGAAGAGCGGCGGGGGGGGGAGAGGGGCAGTGCGGTAGGGGAAGAGACGGTAAAAGGGAACCGACTCGTCGAACGTGACGTCCTGAGAGGGGAAGACACGGCGCGAGGTGGGGTGGTAAAACTGCCAACCAGGCGCGTCAGGGACAAAGCCAAGGAAGACACAGGGAACAGCGCGGGCGGAGAGCTTGTCCGCGGTGGTATTGCGGACAAAGGCACGAGAACCCCAGACCCGGAACACCGACGCATCGCCAACCTCCCCCGTCCACCGCAGTGTGGGCGAGGTCTCCGGCAAGGAGACACGTGGCCAGAGGTTGAGCTGATGCGCGGCGTTGCGGACCGCAAACGGCCACAGAAAATGGGGGGCAGCCGCATGGACCATGGAGGTACGAGCGACCTCCATGACCAAGCCAACGCGGCGCTCAGCAACCCCATGTCAGAATCCCAGCCACTAAACACTGGGATAAAAGGGCTTGTTAAGTAGCGGGTCAGTGCGCCCATAACCCCCCAGGACAACGAGCATGTAACCCTTCCCTACGATCAATCGGGGATCACCAGTGGACCTATGACACCCCCCCGCACTGGGATGCCCGAAGTGCACACAATGGGATTCGAACCCGAGACCTTCGCTCTGATACCATGTCGAAAATAGTAGGCAGGAATGAATGGACTAGAACAGAGTTGGGTACAAATATGAAACCCTAATGGGGCTATGCCCCATGTTGGCTACCCCACTACAGCCTAGACATATATAGCATATATATCATTTGACAGGTTTAGAGTGTCAGAATTATATTCTTATACCTGCATGTAGTTCTAGCTGTAGTGTAGATATTAACTTTATAGGTGGTGCACCTCTTTGTTTGCTATATGTACCCTAGTGCTATAGTGAACATCATTCCCCTCTCATTTCTCGACTCTCACTCCTTGGCACAAACTAGCTCGACCCCCTTGGCCTAGGCTACTAAGCCTAGGCCCACTTAAACCTAACTACCTACTTATGCCACTATTCTGACATAGGGTGTCTTATAAGTTTTATAAAAGGACAAAAAACCGTTTAGAAGATACCCCCTCGTTATACAATTGCCCCTAACCCCTACAGTGGCTTAACTCGTACACACAAATAGGTGTCTTATAATGAGGCTACCCCGTTTATAAGAGACACCCGAATAATAGACACCCCCTGTCTTCTATTCAACACTGTCTTATATCCGGGTGATGACGGTATCGAGCTGCTCTCTGCGAGTCAGGAGAGTTTGTACAATGCCGCTTGATGCAAGCAAAAGGTGTATCGAGCTGCTCTCTGCGAGTCAGGAGAGTTTGTACAATGCCGCTTGATGCAAGCAAAAGGTGTATCGAGCTGCTCTCTGCGAGTCAGAAGGGTTTGTACAATGCCGCTTGATGCAAGCAAAAGGCGTATCGAGCTGCTCTCGTTACAGAGCACTATGGTGTATGCCGAAGCGACTCGCCCAAACCATTCTAGGATGCTAGACTATAATTTCCACTGGCTGTTGCTATGAATGACGTCAGCAAAGGGGTAATTTTGGTCTTAGAATTGCCGAAACAAGCCGACTAGTTCATTCCTGAATTGGAACTGTCCATCTACAGTAGTTTAGACAGATACGTCGTACGTCGTATAACCTTGAGGTCATAAAAAGAATCGGCAGCAGAAACATAAATCAACAGCCCAGTGGACCTTCAAAGTGAAACAGCACAGCAACAACACTCTGGCCATCTGCGTGGCACTTTTGCCTGCAGTTGCAGGGAACCTTTTCAAGCCAAATCATGAATGAAAGTGTTACGAGCAGCCAAAGCATCCGTAGTCTTACGGTAAGTCTGGCTGCAGCAAGCCCACCTCCACCACCCCTAGCAGCTGCTGCAGCCAGCACGCTTCTGACTGTGGCGGGACAGGGCGCGGGGGGTGGCGGGACAGGTGGGTGCTGTAGGGCCGTCTGTAGCGCAGAGGGTTGGTGTGCATGCGAGCAGCCCTGGAGGGGAGGCGTTGGGCTAACTGGCATAAATACGCAGGTGTGTTGGCAGTAGTAATCAAAAGTCATCAGAAGTCATCAGAAGTCAACAGTGAAACTGCTACGACCAGTCACAGCACCCGCCGCCTGGGCACTTCCACTCCCAAGTCTGGCCGAGGCAAACCCCCCTCCACCACCGGCCAGGGCGTTTCTAGACTGAGGCGGGACGGGGCGAGGGGGGCGGCGGGGCAGGTGGGTGTTATAAGGCCGTCTGTAGTGCAGAGGGTTGGTGTGCATGCGAGGCAAGGAGTCCTGAGGGGAGGTGGTAGGATCAGAGGTGTACGCGCCACTATGTGGGTTTGCAAAGCGGTTGTGTGGGGTATGGGAGGGAAGGGAGGGGTTTGCAGGATCGTAGTAGGAGGGAGGAGGGGAGACGTGAGAGAAGGAAGGAGAGTCGGAGGGAGCGGAGGGTGTGTGAGAGGGAGGAGGGGAGAGGTGCGGGATGGTTCCTGGATGCTGCTGCTGCGTGTGGCTTTGGGAGGTTTGGAGGGCTTGGGGGGTTTGGTTGGAAGGTGGATAGAACAATGCATTTGAGGTGGGAAGGAATGGCTCAGTGGAGGAGGTTAGGAGGGAAAACTGCTGCAGCTGCTGTTGATGTTTCTGCTGTTGCTGTAGCTGCTGTTGGTGTTGAAGTTGCTGCTGCTGCTGCTGCTGCTGCTGTTGCTGTTGCAGTTGCTGGTTCCACTGCAGTTGCTGTTTCTGTTGCTGTTGTTGCAACTGTTGTTGCTGTTGCACTTGCAGTTGAAGTTGCTGCTGCTGCTGCTGCTGCTGCTGCCACTGTTGATCCCCATCACTCTCCTCTTGCTCAGCATGCACACGCATCACCTCCCGTGCACGCACACTCACCCCCCCACCAGGCACCTCCTGCCTCTCCTGCTCAAACGAAAACATGTCGCCACTGTCACAGTCCAATACAGTCACAACACTCTCGCTTCCACCGCCCAATGCAGGTGTGGGTGTGCTTTCCTCTGCCGTACCAAGCTTCCAAACCGGTTGGCCAGCCTCGGGAAGTTTCCGAGCCTCCGGATTCAAGGAGTTGGGGGGATAGGAATTGGGGGAAAAGAATGTGGGGGAGAGAGGCGGTTGCTGGTTATATGGAGGGGCTGTGTGGGGAGAACGCATGGGGGAGTGGGGGGGGACTGTGTGAAGGGATGGGGAGTGCGCATGGGGGGAGTGAAGCGGGGAATGGGGGGAGCGCAGTGCTTGCGTGGGGGACCGCATGGGGGAATGGGGAGCGTGTGTGAGACCATGGGGGGAGTGCATAGGAGGGTGGGGGGAGAGAGGGGCAGCCTGGGGAGAGTGCATGTGCGCATGAGGGGAGTGCATGGGCGCATGGGGAGAGTGTGGGGCAGCACGTGGGGAGTGCATGGGCGAAAGAGGGGAGTGCATGGGCGCATGAGGGGAGTGCATGTGTGCATGGGGGGAGTGCATGGGTGCATGAGGGGAGTGCATGGGCGCATGAGGGGAGAGGGAGGCAGCACGTGGGGATTGCATGGGCGAATGGGGAGGATGCATGGGCGCGTGGGGGGAGTGCACGGGAGCACGGGGAGAATGAAGGGGCGAATGAGGGGAGTGGATGAGTATCGTGTGCTGAGAGTGGGGAGAGTGATGAGAGTGGGGAGAGTGCTGAGAGTGGGGAGAGTGCAGCGGAGCTTGGGCAGGCACTTGCTGCATTTCAAAAGGCCCATACACGCCCTGGGAAGGGCTCGAAGGAGCATGCTGCACCAACGTTTGAACAGGGCTGGTGGGGGCATGCACGAGCGCATGAATAGGGCTGGAGGGAGGAGCATGGTGTGCGGCAATTATGTGAGGAGAGGTGGGCTGCTGCTGCTGCTGCTGCAGCCCATGCTGCTGCAGCCCCTGCTGCTGCAGCTGCTGCTGCTGTTGTTGCCCCTGCTGCTGCTGCAACCCCTGCTGCTGCCCCTGCTGTGGTGAAAGTGGCGAGAAGGGGGCCCTCTGCTCTACCCGCTCTGAGGCCAACTTATCCCGAGAAAGCGGAAAAGAAAGAGGAGAAAGAGGAGAACGTGGGGGAGGAGAGCGCAAGGGGGGAGTAGGGGAATGAGGGGGCAGGCTGCCGCGAGGGCTTCTGGCAGGAGCAAAACCAGGCTGGCCTGCTGCAGTAGGGGAGTAAACCGCTGTCTGGCTGTGAGGGCTTAACGTTTGGCTCTTGGGGCTGTGCTGGTTGAAGATTTGATTGGCAGATGCTCGAGGCGGGCATGCTACTGGGCCCGGCCTCTGAGCTCTGTAGCTGCTGCTGTTGCTGCTGCTGCCCGTGCCGATAGTGCTACTGTTGTAGCTGCTGCTGCTGCTGCTGCTGCTGCTGCTGCTGCTAGCACTAGTGTTGCTGCTGCTGCCGGCACTGCTGCTGTTACTGATGCTGCCAGTGCTGCTGCTACTGCTGCTGCCGCTGCTGCTGCTGCTGCTGCTGCTTGCAGTGCTGCTGCTGCTTCCGCTGCTGCTGGCGTTACCAGCGAGAGCATTCACAGACGGGAGGGCAGCAGCAGAGCGGCGGCGGGCACGAGGAGCTTGCAGAGGGCCTGACAAGGCCCGGCGGGAAGGAGGCGCACCCAGCCCCGGCTGAAGTGGGGAAGAGGACGAGGACGGAGAGGAGGGAGAGGAGGAAGGGGAGGAAGAGGAGGGCAGCGGAATGGGCTCTTCTTGCGTCGGATCCGCAGGGAGGATAGCACGAGCGGTAGAAGCAGCGCGGCGGCCAGTACGGGCCTGCAGAGGGCCTGACAAGGCCCGGCGCTTCGGAGGCGCATCCAGCCCCGGCCGAACCGGGGAGGAAGAGGAGGAGGAGGAGGTGGAGGGGCGGAGGAGAATCTGCTCTCCTTGCCTCGTATCAAGACTTTCGGACCCGGCGGAAAGGCTTGGCCTGGTCCGGAGAGGGGAGGTGGAGGGACGAGAAATCTTCTCTTCCTGCCCCTGCTGCATCTGCCCCTGCTGCTGCTGCATCTGCCCCTGCTGCTGCATCTGCCCCTGCCGCTGCTGCATCTGCCCCTGCTGCTGCTGCATCTGCACTTGGTGCTGCATCTGCCCCTGTTGCTGCTGCATCTGCCCCTGCTGCTGCATCTGCCCCTGCTGCTGCATCTGCCCCTGCTGCTGCTGCATCTGCTCCTGTTGCTGCTGCATCTGCCCCTGCTGCTGCTGCATCTGCCCCTGCTGCTGCTGCATCTGCCCTTGTTGCTGCTGCATCTGCACCTGTACCTGCCCCTGCACCTGCCCCTGCGGCTGCCACATCAGCCCCTGCTGCTGAATCTGCCCCTGCTGCTGCTGCAACTGCCCCTGCTGCTGCATCTTCCCCTGAAGCTGCTGCATGTGCATCTGTTGCTGCACCTGCCCCTGATGCTGCATCTGCCCTTGCTGCTGCATCGGTCCCTGCCCCTGCCTCTGCATCTGCATCTGCCCATGCTGTTGCATCTGCTCCTGTGCCTGCCCCTGCCCTTGCCCTTGTAGCTGAATCTGCCCTTGATAGTAGATCTGCCCCTGAATCTGCCCCTGCATCTGCCCCTGCTGCTGCATCGGCCCTTGGTCTCTAAACTGCTGCTGCCGGCCAGAAGAGGACAGAGAGGGCCGCTGGGCGGCAGAGGAGGGCCGCTGGGCGGCAGAGGAGGGCCGCTGGGCGGCAGAGGAGGGTCGCTGGCCGGCAGCAGAAGACCGCTGGGCGGCAGAGGAAGGCCGGTGGGCGGCAGAGGACGAGGTACGCTGGAGATTTCCGGGACCAAGGCGGGAGGGCACGGCAGGAAAGGACGAGAGAGCGTCGGGCGTCTGGACGCGATTCAGCTGCGTTGGATCGTCGGTGTGCCGCCGCAGCAGTCGGCGGTTACCTGGGGTAGAGTTAGGGTTACCCCGGCCACGCCCACTGCCAGGAGCAACACCACCACCAGCAGCAGCGCCACCACCACCACCACCACGACCGCTGCCACTGCTGTAACCTGGGGTGCCACTTCTGTAACCGGCTCGTCTAGAGCTACCTGTGTTGCCTGTGGTTGCAACTACAGGCGCCAGACCCTCATCCTCCTCCTCCTCCTCCTTCTCCCAATCCTCTTCCCCTGATCCTGATATGAATTGCACTGAAGAGGAGGGTAACTCTGCTGCTGCTCCTCCTGCTGCTGATGAGGATGACGGTGCTGCTGCTGAGGAGGGCCGGAACTTCTCATAGTTCCGGAGAGAGAGAGTAGCAGACGGCGAGCCTGAGGCTCGACCCCCACCACCGCTACCGCTACCCCTACCACCACCACCACCACCACTACCCCTACCACCACCCCGACCCCTACCCCGGCCGCCCAGCCGGTCACTGCTTACTCCGGGTACTGACGCAGAAGAATTAGCAGCCCTGGGACCTACAGCGCCTGTGGTATCACTCCCTGTGCCGCCCGTACTCCACTCACCTAGCCCAGCCTCCACACCCCCAGCTAAGCCCCCATCTGAGTCAGCTACACCTCCATCCACGTCAGCGCCCACGTCATCCCCCTCCAGCTGCCCCATGAAAGCCCCAGCGTTGCCAAGCGATGCCGACTGTATCATAAACGCCCCACCGGCCCTGCCGCCCACCCTGCGGCCCGCTCTGCCGCCCGCCCTGCCGCCTGCTCGTGCCCCTCCTGCTGCTGCTCCTCCCCTTGCTGCGGCTGGCGAACCCCTGTACGTGCCATATCCCTGCCTCATCCCCCTATTCGCTTCTCCAACCCCAGCAAACCCGCCGCTCCCACCACCCTCACCACCCTCAACAGCCGCACCTGGCACACCAGAACCACCAGCGGCGCTGCCCTTACCAAGAGCACCATCAAACCCATCACCAGCGAAGCCAGCACGCTTTTGAGTCGACTCAAAAGCAGTCCCAGCAAGAGCGTCATTGAGCCCACCACCAGCAAAGCCATCACCAGCAGAGCTAACGCCAGCAAGACCCGTACCAGCGTTAGCTTCTGAGCTCAGAAGTGCTTCCGAGCTCTCCTCTTCTCGCCCCTGCCACGACCTATCAGAGAAAGGCTCATGAGAAGCACTTCTAGGAACGCCCCTACCACCACCACCACCACCTCGGTTCCTTCCCCCCTGCCCTGGCCCCACGCCTACTACCCCATGTTGCTGCTGTAGCTGCTGCTGCTGCTCCGCCAGTCGTCGCCTGTACTCCTCAAACTTGCTCACATACGCCACGGCAGACGCCCGCGAGCCTGTGCCCGTGGACGGCCGAGATCCGCCCGGTGCCTGCTGCATGGACGGCTGAGATCCGCCTGCCACCGCCTGCTGCTGAGCGCCTGTGCTTTGCTGTGCGCTCGTGCTTTGAAGTGTCGTACCGTGCTGCTGCTGCTGCTGCTGCCACTCCTTCCCCGGGTCGACCACGAGAATCTGAGCATCAGGGCTTGTTCCATTGCCGAGGGCCTGTGCCTGTGCATATTGCTGCGTCGGCTGCTGCTGCTGAGTTCCCGCTGCGCCCTCACTGTCTCCTGTCCCCAACTGATCAACCCCGGACGCGTGAAGGGCTCCATTGGCGAACTCCTGAAAGCCGCCAGCAGCAGCAGCAGCAGCAGCAGCAGAAGAAGCAGCACCACCCCCTAAAGACGTGCCAGCAGTATCGGCAGCAGCAGCAGCAGTGGCAGCGGAAAGAGCAGGGCTATTGGTGCCAGTTACCCTTAGGTATCCATCCATGCTGGTCTGGCTCAGTGAATACGCCCTAGGCCTCTCTGTACCGGACCCGAACCGTATTGACTGCATTGACCGGTTTGACTGACTCTTGAACCCATCCGCTCCTCCTTCTGACCCCTGAGGCGCCTCAAAAGTCGCCCTAGGCCTCTCTGACCAGGACCCAGGCCGCATTGACTGCATTGACCGCGTTGACTGACTCTTGAAACCATCTGCGCCTCCTTCCGACCCTGACCTCCCTCCCCCACTCCTCTGCCCCGCACCGTAACTAGCCCCTGCACCATAGCTCCCCCCATCGAAGCTCCCCCCACCGAGATTCCCTCCACCAGAATTTCCCCCACCGTAATTCACCCCATCAGTCCTGGGTACACCTGCCCCAGACCCCACTGGATCAGATCCCACCGGATCAGATACCACCTCCCCCTCAAGCGGCTCCCCATCGTCCTCCTCCAGGTCCGCCTGCCACGCCCTGTGCCTCCGCCCGCTCTCTGACGCCATGCGCGGAAGCCTAAACCTCGCTATAGCGGACCTCGATAAAGGCAACGGAGGCCCTGCCTTCGGCCCCGCGGAACTTGCGCCCTTTCCGCCTGAGGTCCACAGCCCTCCGCCGTAGGGGGAGGGGGAGGAGGAAGGGGCGGCCGCGGCCGCGGCAGCAGCAGGACCAGCGTAAGGGCTAGCGTACGGGCTGGCGGAAGGGCTGGCGGAAGGGATGGCGGAAAAGCTTGCGCCACTGGCGGAGAAGCTCCGCTGGCGCGAATATGACGGTCCCTGGGGAGTTTGGTTCGGAGTCTGGTTCGGGGTCTGGTTCAACGGTAGAAAGACACTCCCCCCAGAACTTGCGCTTCTTCCAGCAGAACCGCCGCTTCCCCTTCCGCTAGCCCCGTGGTTCCTCCCCGCGGCTCCCCGCTGGTTTCCGCCACTGGCTTCCCCCGGTTCCCTCCCGTCGTCCGCGGGGCTTCCCCCCGCGCCACCCGCACCGCTTCCCCCGCCGCCACCCGCGGAGCCCCCGAACATCTGATGCAGCGCGTCTGACGCGGACCGCGCCAGGCCCCAGTGCGATCCAACGCCGGCGGAACGGCTACCTGCGCTCCCGCGCGCGAGCCCCGCGTGGGAAGCATCGGCGGGAGCTGCGGGGCTGGCCGCGACGGAGAAATCTCTATCCGCGGGGACTTCCAGCCTGGTAAAGAACGAATCTTCTGCCGTCTGCGCTGCTCCGCGCGCCTGTGCTGCTGCGCCGCCAGCCTCTCCGCCGCGCACCTGCTGTGCCCCTCCGCGCGCCTCTCCGCCTTCCCCACCGCCGGACGGCTTGAATGAATGCGCGGGTTTCGGTTCCTGCGCGAGCGAGCGCACGAAGGTCTGGAAATCCATGGCGGAGAGTGACGTGGCGCGTTGGACCTTGTTCCACACGCGCTGTCGCACGCTGCCGGAGCGCTGGCGACTTGGATTGGACGATTTAAGGAAATTAACGGCGCATCCGGCGGGCATTGTGGGAGACTGAAGCGAGTCATCGTACGCATCGTCCCCGTTAGTAAATTCTCCGCCATGGTTTTGTTGGTGCTGCTGGTAGGATTGGTCATTGTTTTGTAGGTATAGTGGAGCGGAATGGAAATCGGGGTTGTTAGGGTTGTCGTTATCCGCGCGTGGCGATTCCACCCATAACTCGTCCATAGTTTTTAGAATCACACGAGTGGTAACCAATTCCGCTCCAGCATCATCGTCTATACCTAGGATCGCATCGTTCGTGAATGGCGAACGGCTTTGGATGGCGGATACATCAGTGCATTATTATCATCTCCCATTAGCCAAACACTAAAACATGGTCTAGAAATTCTCTGAGCTCTTGAAGATTTCTCACAGGTGGTTGTGAGTCCACAAGAATCACCACTTCCCTCTCCCCGAACCAAACCAAGCAACAGCCACTTCGGAGCTTCCTAGGCCGTGAGTGAGGAACGAAGGACTATCGGTTGGAATGTGGTCGCAGCTTACGACATGCGTAACCTGTTCAGTTCAAGTCGGTCCAGTGCAATCAAAGGCATCTTGAACGGTACAGAACGGATGTTTCAGTTCATCAACATTGCACATCATCATCACTGCACCAGGCAACCCGGAGGGCCGAGGTGTCGAGAAGGGTCATGAAACCGTACAGGTCCGTTACCAGAAAGTCGGTTTCCACGAAGAATGTGACTAGAGACGGGCAGGGATCTGCCCGCAAATCTTCTCTAATTCATATTTTTCAACGTCCAACTCCATCAAAACTGCACATAAATTGAATATGATAATCATCATACTATAATTTTCTGTGGACAGTTTTGTATGCATCCAGTCTCGGCCGTTTTGAGATAGCAGTTCCGCACGTGTGGTGTGATCCATGCAGCAAGAAGGGTGCGAGTGAACACCAGAGAAATTTTGTTCTTCTATAATATATGTAATGTCGTATAACGCCTGTCTACATTGCAGCAGAGGCGTGTTCATCACCAAGTGGTCTGTTATAAACGCGGGTACTACTCGAACGAATTCCAGACAGCTTGATCAGATCGATGCATTCCATTTTCAACTTCATTTTTCTGTAGAATCGTTAGCACGATGGCGGCTCCTGCTGTTTCTCTGGTCGCCCACTCGTCCACGCAAGCAGCTTTGGTGTCTCGCGTCGTCGCGTGCCAATCAAGAGCCACAGGCAGCCATCAACACTTTCCTTCTCCTCCCCGCGCATCTCCTTTCACACGCGCGACGGTTTTACCAGCTCGCACGCACACGTGCTCCCTGCGATCGCGACAACTTACTACAGGCTGGCCGTACGGACGCCGAGTAGTAGCAGCGGCGAATGCAGGCACGACTATTGTCGCGTCTGCTTCTGTCGGGGACGTGAACGAGGCGATTAAAGACGCGGCTAAGGAGGGCGACGTGGCTGCGGTAAAGCAGCTATTGGCAGGCGGAGGTGTCGACATTAATTTACCTAGCCCTGAACGATCTGGCTGGACAGGTAATCCTAGAAAACATAGATGATGCTATACATTTTGTACAGGATAGTAACAGTTGCCTACAGGCTTACAACATTAGAGTACATGCTGCCAGTCAAACGCGAGTACAGGCTTGCACCTGCGGCTTTCTATGAGCACCCAGAGGTCGTTCAGGTGATTCTGTCTACTTCTGAGTCGACTCGAACCCCCCTCCCTTTCCCCCCACACACCGTCCCCCCGCCTTCCCCGCCCTCCTCACCTGCCCCCTGCAGCGTTGCACCTTGCAGCTTTCGACGAGCACCCAGAGTTCGTCCAGGTGCTTCTGGCTAGTTATGCGTCGACTCAAACCCCTTCCCCCCCCTCCCCCCCCCCTTTTCTCCCTTCTCCCCTCCCTTCCCCTGCAGCGTTGCACCTGGCTGCTTTCTACGAGCACCCAGAGGTTGTCCAGTCCAGGTGCTTCTGGCTACTTCGGAGTCGACTCCAACCTCCCCTCCCTCCCCCCCCACACACCCCCCCCCCCCACCCCCCTGCAGCGGTGCACCTGGCAGCGTTCTACGAGCATCCAGAGGTCGTCCAGGTGCTTCTCGCTGCCGGAGCTGACACTGACGCTCGGAACAGCACCGGGAATACTCCGCTGCAGGTTTGGAAGACCTACAGATTGATAACCCCGCATAACATAAATTGCATATTTGCACTCTGGATTCATCATTATAGCATCCCTGTGTTCCTTTCACTAAGATTCCCTACCTGTCTTTTGGTTGCACCATCCAACCACTTTCCTTTTCCTGCCGTCATGAAAACCCCTTTTTACTGTGCCCCGTCCAATACTTTCATGCTTAGAAATCATGCCTAAAGATCATTTTTTACCACCAACGACGATCGGAATATCATTTCTCCCCTTCCCTCGCCCAGTTCGCGTGCATAGAGGGCAACCTGGACGTTGCTCGCATTCTATTGGACGCCGGTGCTGACCTGTACGCCACCAGCGATGACAAGGGGAACGCTCTCGAGTACGCTCAAGGTGCGCACGCAAGTTGGGTGGCTTGGCGTCTGGTTTGCACTGAGGCTGATGCCAGTGTTCGAGGTGAGGTGACCTGTACGCCACCAGCGATGACAAGGGGAACGCGCTCGAGTATGCTCAAGGTGCGCACGCAAGTTGCGGTTGCATTGAGGTGGCGTTTGGTTTGCACTGACGCTGGTGCCAGTGTTCCAGGTAACCTGTACGCCACCAGCGATGACAAGGGAAACGCTCTCGAGTATGCGCAAGGTGTGCAGGCGAAGTGGCTTTGGGGTGGCAGTGAGGTGGCAGTGAGGTGGCAGTGAGGTGGCAGTGAGGTGGCTTTGGGGTGGCAGTGAGGTGGGAGTGAGGTGGCATTGAGGTGGGAGTGAGGTGGCATTGAGGTGGCAGTGAGGTGGCATTGAGGTGGCAGTGAGGTGGCATTGAGGTGGCAGTGAGGTGGCATTGAGGTGGCATTGAGGTGGCATTGAGGTGGCATTGAGGTGGCATTGAGGTGGCATCAAGACACCTTGGGAGAGCAGGGTGAGTATGGTAGGGTTGTAGGCGTGTTCTCAAATGGATGGATTTGCACATGTGCTGATGGCAGTGTTAGAAGCAAGGTATTAGTGGCTGATGGATGATGGATGCCACACGGAATGGTTTTCGAGTCGACTGAAAAGTCATGGCAGTGTTAGTGGTTGGTGGATGCCAGACGGGACGGTTGAGCTCAAGTATGCACTGATTGCAAAGTGCAGGCGACATCAAAGACTTAGGAAAGAGGTTAGTGTTGCACTGAGTGCAAAGCATGTGCAGGTGATATCGAAGAGCTTGGATGCAACGAGATGATGTTTGTTCAGAGTGTTATTGATGGAGCCTTCCACGTTCACGCTGTTGGTTTTTTCTTTGTGCTTGCAGAGTGGGGAACCGAAGAAATGGTTGACTTCCTCCTTGTTCGTGCGGCCACAGAAAGGAATAAATAAAAATTGGCCCCGATCGCCAGCTGGTGGTATAGCATCGTACACTCACATGTGAAGCGAGGCCAGTGTACTGTCTATAATCTCCACTGGACAAGAGAGTCTGCTCGAGTACCGCCATTGAGTGTTGAGAAATTAGGGATGGCTGGAGAGAGGCGGAGTGGGCCCGATCTGCGCTAGAACGAGCTTAGCACCAACCACGTTAACAGTTTGAAACACATTCATTCATGTGGATGGGCAACGCTACAGCAGACTGTCCGCTCAAATTTCGCCGTAACATATGGCATTCGTTGGCGCCATGCGAGGGATATGGGGTCCAGCCATTCACCCAGTTGAAGGTTCTGGTTGGAGAAATTAGGCACTCCGCACACCCACCGCACTAAAGCAGCACAATGGGTGACCTTCAAGCTGCAAGGAAGCACAAGTTATTGCCATTTCCCGTACCCCCCCAGCTTCTGAAAGCAAGGCGCATTCCTCTCTACCAGTACATCACGTCGTGCACAGCGGCTCCATACTTCCGCTCACACCTCCCTTACACCTTCGCAGCTCATTTCAAGCTTCCTATCGATTCCGTGCTTCACCAATGCAGCTGCACAAGGCAGGGCCTGCTTCAGAGTAAGCTTTAGGGACATGGCTAACAATCCGAATCGGGTATAACCTCTTCACTCACCTGTCCCACATATCATTGCTACTCTCTACTGCCTCTCCCTTTCCTCTCCCTGAACTGTTCCACCAACATATGGTACATCGGGGACTGCTGTATGTGTATGCGGAAGGTATAGCTTTTCAGATGTGTTTCTGGACTGGTACCACGTGAGGCATAGTATGTGGTGCTGTTCCACGGCCCCTAGATTCCCATCATCCCGTCTCTCAAATCCTTCCATTCCCATAACCCTTCCAAATTACTCCGCAAGTTGAATCATTCTACAAGTACGTATTCATTGCCTTGCAAAATAACCAAATGATGCGGCAATGGTATAAATTTCATTAGCATTTGAGCTATCGCATTGACGCTCCCATGTATTATGAACAGTGACAGTATGTTACGAAAATTGGATCGCGGAGCAATGCCATCGCTCCAACGGCTTCCAACGAGATGGCATCTCGGGAGGTATGTTAGTAGGAGGTTAGTAGGTCAGCGCAGGATATTAGTCTCTTCCTCCACAATACTCAGTGGGAGAAGCCATCCATGTCGTCTGACATGGTAGAGCCTGCACATGAAAAGAGAAAGGCTGTTAAGAGTCCTGTCTTGACAAAGCAACACAAAAATTCTCGAACCGACCTATGACAGCTATAACGTAAGAAAGACACAGGATCACAAACGCGGAACGAGAGCGCGGGGTGTAAGCAACTGATGGAACGAAAAGGAGAACAACGACTCACTGTGTATCCGCTGGAGTGCGGCCGCTGTTACTACGATCGCGGCGCACCATGACGAGAATGTGAGCGCTCCAGCGACAGCTACACATTTAACGAGAACGACACCGGGAACGAAACCTCCTAGCACAGCAGCACCGACGTCCCAAATCTGACCAGCCTCGAATAACGAACTACGCCTCGACTCGAATTGACAGGCCGCACCGTGGTAAAACTCCTGAAGCTCCATAGCAGACGGATCCATGACTATGGCCGGACAGCTCGAATTCAGGCGAAGTTTGCAGGCCGACTGGACAGCATTCAAAACTCTGCTGAAGCCTGAAGGCACTTCGATGCGATGAAACGCATACAGATATTGGTGATGTCTAAATTCTTAGTTCATGCTGATGCACACGGACAGAGCTTTGGCAGTAGGAGGAAATCCAGTTCAGAGGAGCTTGACATCAGAAAGCGGGGGGGGAGGAGAGGGGGGGGGGGGGGAGCAGGGAGGGAGGGAGGGAGGTGAGGAGGAGGGTTGCAGAAATTCAGCAATGGGCATGAGGGGTGTGACGCTTTGCTGACGCGGCTTCCCGCAATCACCGGCGGCGAACAACACAAGCACCCACTACCGTTGCGCTTTTTCGGATTTGTGCGACACGTTGATCATAACTGCGTGGACATGAGGTTCTCGGATGGGCTGAATCTGCAGTAATGTTGTTCTTCAACTGCGGTCATGTGGGATACGGAACGGTGACATCAGTTGAGAAAGGGTAGTTGTTTTAAAAACGCGCCCACAGTTTCGCCACCGGAGACGAACAACCTTCATCGGAGTTCATTTTCGTTGAAACGAATTTGGAGCCAGGATTCATAATCACCGTGATTGGAGGGGCATCCTCAAAGTCGAGTCGAGATTGGTATTTGGGCAACGGAGGAGTCACCCACGTGACCATTAGCCAATAGGATCTTTTGTCAACTGTCCGTGTGAAGCCTGGTCAGAATGGAGGGCAATCTTGGTTCAGAATTTCTATTGGCGCGCCATTTGGATGGGGTTGGGGTGATTCCGGCGACCACGCCTTGGATGACGCTGACAGTGACTCGAGGTCGCGTTATGAATGGATGGAGAACACTAAAAGTAATGGATGGAAAGGAAAACATAACCACTGCACAGGATTGACAGCTTATTCACACAAAATCACTACTACTGTTTAGCAAGTGGTGGTACACACACTATCTAAAAATCACTGAGATATATAATCACCAGTACAAAGAAACGGACAATAATAGAAACACACTTGCAAGAACGGTTACACCATACTATGCTTACGAGCTCTTAGACCTAGCGGTAACTTTCTTCCCTGCACGCTGACGGCCCTTCTGTCCGCCCCTCCGCCCACCCCTCCCTCCTGTGGGCCCTGCGCCTGCATTTGTTGCAGCTTCAACCCCACCCTCTTCTTCGGTGTTAGCTTCTTCTGCTGCTTCCGTTTTCCCTTCTGATGCTGCTGCTACTGCTGTTGCTCCTGCTGCTGCTGCTGCTGCTGCTGCTGCTGCTGCTGTTGCAGCTGCTCCTGTGGACTGGGATGCTTGGGATGCCTCAGTGGCAGCAGGGACTGCTGCAGCAGCTGCACCAGCATTGGCCACGTTGACCAAATCAGGTTGCTTCGCCATAACAGGCTTGAACTGCAACCAGCACAGACAGAATGGCAGCCACAGATTTCCAGCCAGAGTTGGAAATAATCCGCCGAGTCACCAGATACAAAAAGAATTGGTGAGGGAAAGCAGTACAGAACACGAAAAGTGGCTAGTGAACCGAGCAGGTGACATGATAGCGACTTGGCATCTGAACCCAACCTCAGAAAAGCTTCCAGGTAAACGGGTGACATGTAATCACAAAATAGTCACGCACCTAATTATTGCAACTCACCCAGTACACATACCAGACACAACGTGACTCACCCGGTATTGGGAACCAAATGACATATACCCACCTGGTACACTGCGTACATGACACGTACCCCACCTGATACACTGAGTAAATGACAAGTAACCCACCTGGTACACCATGTAGATGACATGTAACCCAACTGGTACACATCCCAAACGACACGTAACCCACCTGGTACACGGAGTAGATGACGTTGCGGCGGATCTGCGCCATCATGGAGAGGAAGAGGTTGTACCCCTCCAGCTTGTACTCTATCAGGGGGTCCTTCTAATGCACCCAACCTCGTACACATCCCAGCCCACCCCAAACGGCCCGTGACGCACCTGGTAGACCGAGTAGATAACGTTGCGGCGGATCTGGGCCATCATGGAGAGGAAGAGGTTGTACCCCTCCAGCTTGTACTGTGCGTACCCGCGCAGCCCCACCGCCTGCTGCGCAAACTTGAGTGCCTGCAGGTGCTCCTTCCACAGGTTGTCCGTCTGGGACAGCACAAAGTAGCGCTCCGCGTCTTTCATCAGCCCTGGGACGATTTTCTCCACCTCCTCCTGGAAACATCAGGCAGAGGGGAAGGGAGATCAGGGGAGGAGGTGAGAGAGGGTGCCTGCAGGTGCTCCTTCCACAGGTTGTCCGTCTGAGACAAGACGAAGTAGCGCTCCGCGTCTTTCATCAACCCTGGGACGATTTCTCCACCTCCTCCTGAAAACACAGAAGAGGGAATTCGGGGTAAGGTTGGGAGCTTGAGTGCCTGCAGGCGCTCCTTCCACAGGTTGTCCGTCTGGGATAAGACAAAGTAGCGCTCCGCGTCCTTCATCAGCCCAAAAACTATCTTCTCCACTTCCTCCTGAGCTCATAAGGGCAGGGTACGCGGGAGAGGACAAGATAGGGCAACAAAGACAAAGAGAGGAAGGGAAACCGGGGGATGGGGTGAGAGGGTGTGCCTGCAGGTGCTCCTTCCACATATTGTCCGTCTGAAACTAGAACAAAGTAGCGCTCCGCATCCTTCATCAGCCCAGGAACAATCTTCTCCACCTCCTCCTGGGTGGATAAGAGAGAGGGGTACAGGGGAGCGAAGGTCACGAGCAGAGGGACGGACGAAAGACGATTCTGAGTGAGGAGAGGAGTTCCTTTGGCCGGTTAGTGCGGTAACCTCTCTGCTCCTGCTTCCACCTACCCTCGAACCCACCAAGCTGGGGATCTCAACCAGTCGCTCACCCGCTTCTGGTAGTACACCTCCCGCCCGCGCTTCCGCAGGTACTCCCTCAGGCTGTCGACTGAGTCGGCGTGGGGAGCGAGGGACTCAGGGGAGAGGTCGGCGAGCAGGTAGCAGTACTGCCTCTGCTCCCTGGTCCGTATTACCCCCCCTCCCACCCCCCCTCCCACCTCACAACTGGTTGACAGCACTCACCCTCTTCTGGTAGTACACCTCCCGGCCGCGCTTCCTCAGGTACTCCCGCAGGCTGTCAATGGAGTCGGCGTGGGGAGCGAGGGACTCTGGAGAGAGGTCGGCGAGCAGGTAGCAGTACTGCTTGACCTTGGCTGCCAGCGCCTCCAGATTCCACTCCTCCTTGGGCTTCGTGGCGTCGATGTTGGCCTGAGGTGAGAAAATACGATCGCAGGGATGGACGGCGAGGGGAGGAAGGAGAGAGGGGAGGAGGGAGAGAGGGGAGGAGGGAGAGAAGGAAGGAGGGAGAGAGGGGAGGAGAGAAGGGACGTGAGAGGGGAGGAGAGACACAGAAGGGAGGTAGGAGAGAGAGGGGAGGCAGGAGAGGGTGTGAGGCGAGAGGTCGGCGAGCAGGTAGCAGTACTGCTTGACCTTGGCTGCCAGGGCCTCCAGGTTCCACTCCTCCTTGGGCTTCGTTGCGTCGATGTTGGCCTGAGGAGTGGAGGGAAGGTGGTAGGGGAGGGAAGGCAAGAGAGGGTGAGAGAGGGAGATAGGTGACAGGAAATGGTGTCCTCCTCCTTGGGCTTTGAGGCGTCGATGTTGGCCTGAGGAGCGGACGGTAGATGAGGGGGAAGGAGAGGAGCGACAGAGAGGGGTGGAAGGAGAGGGACAGAATGTACTGCTTGACCTTGGCTGCCAGGGCCTCCAGGTTCCACTCCTCCTTGGGCTTCGTGGCGTCTATGATGGCCTGATGGGTAGAGGGAAGGTGGGAGGGGAGGGAAGGAGGGACGGAGAGGGGTGGGAGGGAAGGAGGGACAGAGAGGGGTGGGAGGGAAGGAGGGACAGAGAGGGGTGGGAGGGAAGGAGGGACAGAGAGGGGTGGGAGGGAAGGAGGGACAGAGAGGGGTGGGAGGGAAGGAGAGGGGCAGGCGAGGGTGAGAAGGAGGGAGGAGGCAGGTAAAGGTGGGAAAGCGAGGAGGGAACGAGAGGGAGGCATGAGAGGGACCACCACGGAGCCCCCCTAGGGGGATCAGTGACTCAAGCATTAGGAGAATGGTTTGTTCCTACCTGCTGCGACGTTGTTCTGGCAAGCAACTGCTTGCATGCCTGTACGCTACCAGCAGGTGCGTTGTGTGGCGTTCCTGGTGGACCATCTATGCCGTTCCTGACGTCGTTCCTGACGTTGTTCCTGACGTTGTTCTGGCAACTGCATGCCTGTACCCTACAAAAATGGTCTAATACGATGGACTGTTTGAGAGAGAGGGGAGGCCACCATGGCTCTTCTTTCACAGGGGGGCCGGCCACCACTGTAATCTCGCTCCCTGTCAGCCCATAACAAACCACACCAAGCCCTCTCTCCCTGCGAGACCCACTCATCTCCAGTATATCGTCCGTGAGCTCGGCATAGTCCACCATATTGGTGCGACTTTTGAGAATTCTCAAAAGACCTTCTCACCTCCAGTATATCGTCCGTGAGTGAGCTCGGCATACTCCACCATGGCATGGCCCCCTCCAGGTCCATCCAGAGCAGCAACCAGCAGCAACCAGCAGCAACCGGCGGCAACCGGCGGCAACCGGCGGCAACCGGTGGCAACCGGCGGCAACCGGCGGCAACCGGCGGCAACCGGCGGCAACCGGCGGTGAGCTAGAGCTGCATGGTCAGCGGGATCAGTTTAGCCGTGAGAAGGAAAATTTGCAAGTGGCTCTGCAGAGCGAGAGGGAACTGAGGTTAAAGGCCGAAGAGTCTAACAATGACCTCACGGCCGAACTGAAGTCGAGGGAGGAGGAGGTGAAGAAGCTTAAAAATTTGCTGCCAAAAGAGGAAAAGAGCAGGCAGAGGCACAGCGGGTGGGTAAAAAGTTTAGGGGGATGGCTAAAAAGTTTGGTGCGGGTGGGTAAAAAGTTTATGACCATCCCCCTAAACTTTTTACCCACTGGCTGTGCCTCCTGCCTGCTCTTTTCCTCTTTTAGCAGCAAATTTTTAAGCTTCTTCACCTCCTCCTCCCTCGACTTCAGTTTGGCCGTGAGGTCATTGTTAGACTCTTCGGCCTTTAACCTTAGTTCCCTCTCGCTCTCCAGAGCCATTTGCAAATTTTCCTTCTCACGGCTAAACTGATCCTGCTGACCCTGCAGCTCTAGAACTTGGTGCTGGGTCGCAACCTCTCACTCACCTCAAGAATATCATCCATGGTGAGCTCGGCATACTCTATCATTGCCCCCTCCAGACTCTCCGCCACCAGCGCCCTCCTCCTCTCCGCGTATACGCGGTCACGCTGGCTGTTCAGCACCTGAGAAGAAGGGGGCGAGGGGGAAAGGGGTGAAAGGGAGGGTCGCAAAGAGTTAATGCTCCACTCATCTCTTCTCCGCCACCAGCGCCCTCCTCCTCTCCGCGTACACTCGGTCGCGCTGACTGTTCAGCACCTGGGAGGAGGGGGGAGGGAGGGAAGGGAGGGACGGGGTGAAAAGAGAGATGGGGGAGGGGCGCCGCCACCAGCACCCTCCTCCTCTCCGCGTACACTCGATGTGCCACATCACATCATGATGACCCCATGTGCCACATCACATCATGATGACCCCATGTGCCACATCACATCATGATGACCCCATGTGCCACATCACATCATGACCCCATGTGCCACATCACATCATGACCCCATACCTGGTCATACTCGAACAGCTGCTTGCGAATATCAAAGAAGTAGTTCTCCACCTTCCTCTCCCAGCATGTTCAGCCTCACACATCGCACCTCCTTGCTCTTAAGCCCCCCTCTATCAACTGCTCATGATCAAACCTCACCTGGTCATACTCAAACAGCTGCTTGCGAATATCAAAGAAGTAGTTCTCCACCTTCCTCTGCGCACCTTCCTATGAGCCGCACCACACCGCACCACACCGCACCCTACTTGATCGTATTCGAACAGCTGCTTGCGAATATCAAAGAAGTAGTTCTCCACCTTCCTCTGTGCCTCGTCCAACGCAGACTGGACCAGTATCAGTGCACACACTATGAGCCGCACCGCACCGCACCACACCGCACCCTACCTGGTCATACTCGAACAGCTGCTTGCGAATGTCAAAGAAGTAGTTCTCCACCTTCCTCTGCTCGTAAGTTCAGCCTCACACATCGAATCTCCTTCGCTCTACGTGCCCCCCACTCGCACCTACTCACACCCAATCCGCACCTGGTCGTATCCAAACAGCTGCTTGCGAATATCAAACAAGTAATTCTCCACCTTCCTCTCCCAGCATGTTCAGCCTATGTCACACCTCCCTGCTCTGCCTGCTCCTCTCTCGCACCTGGTCATATTCGAACAGCTGCTTGCGGATATCAAAGAAGCAGTTCTCCACCTTCCTCTGCGCACCCTCTAGCACAGACTGGACCAGTATCAGCGCACACCCTATGAGCCACACCGCACCGCACCGCACCCTACCTGGTCGTATTCGAACAGCTGCTTGCGGATATCAAAGAAGCAGTTCTCCACCTTCCTCTGCGCACCCTCTAGCACAGACTGGACCAGTATCAGCGCACACCCTATGAGCCACACTGCACCGCACCGCACCCTACCTGGTCGTATTCGAACAGCTGCTTGCGAATGTCAAAGAAGTAGTTCTCCACCTTCCTCTGCGCACCCTCTAGCACAGACTGGACCAGTATCAGCGCACACCCTATGAGCCACACCGCACCGCACCGCACCCTACCTGGTCGTATTCGAACAGCTGCTTGCGGATATCAAAGAAGCAGTTCTCCACCTTCCTCTGCGCACCCTCTAGCACAGACTGGACCAGTATCAGCGCACACCCTATGAGCCACACTGCACCGCACCGCACCCTACCTGGTCGTATTCGAACAGCTGCTTGCGAATGTCAAAGAAGTAGTTCTCCACCTTCCTCTGCGCACCCTCTAGCACAGACTGGACCAGTATCAGCGCACACCCTATGAGCCACACCGCACCGCACCGCACCCTACCTGGTCGTATTCGAACAGCTGCTTGCGGATATCAAAGAAGCAGTTCTCCACCTTCCTCTGCGCACCCTCTAGCACAGACTGGACCAGTATCAGCGCACACCCTATGAGCCACACCGCACCGCACCGCACCCTACCTGGTCGTATTCGAACAGCTGCTTGCGGATATCAAAGAAGTAGTTTTCCACCTTCCTCTGCGCCTCGTCCAGCGCCTTGGTGAGCATCTTGGACTCAATCGGCATGTCCTCCACGCGGAACGCCTTCATCAGACCCTGTGGGTGCACGCACAGGCAGGGTGTGGGAGGTGGCGTTTGAAGAAAATAAAACAAGGAAATGCCAGAATGCTTTGGTGAGCATGCTGGACTCGATCGGCATGTCTTCCACTCGGAACGCCTTCATCCAACCCTATAAGGATGAAACAGGGCAGTGGTGGCATGATTACAATTTACAACACCCGAGGAGACAGGAAAGATATGCACGCCTTACAACCCGGTGAGCATACAAGCCGTATGGGAAACACAAAGGACTTATCACCTCTCCACAAACACCACTGCTTTGCACCACCTCCAGCCACTCTGCGCCAGCCTATCCTCCTCAGCAATCATCCAACAATGCAGGCACATACTGTCACCGCCACTCTCCACTGCACTGCATTCAACCACTCTACACCACACCACTACAACACTCTGTGTTTGCTCACACAGTGCTCTGCACTGCACTGCACACCTGCATGTGGTCGCCCCCTAAGATGTGAAAGATGTCATCAAGGGTCGCCCTGACCAACCCCTTACACACCAGTCCACACCTACCCTCACCTCATTGTATCACTCCCCACCGCACTGCACACCTGGATACGGTCGCCCCCGAAGATGCGGAAGATGTTGTCCTCAAGGGACAGGAAGAAACGCGAACTGCCAGGGTCGCCCTGCCGGCCTGACCGTCCCCGCAACTGGAATGCACAACGGGGGGGGAGGAGAAGGGGAGGGGGAGGGGAGGGGAGGGGAGGGGAGGGGAGGGGAGGGGGGGAGAGGTAGCGGGATGGGAAGGCAGGGAGATGATAGATGGGTTGGAGAGGGACGGTGGGGTTCACATGGAAGCATGCAGATTAAGGCCTGGTCCGACCTTTGAGGCCCCACATATGCCCTAAACCCTAAACCTTTTCCACCCCTCACCTGGTTGTCAATGCGCCGCGACTCGTGCCTCTCTGTGCCAACGACATGCAGCCCGCCAGCAGCGATGACCTTCTGCTTCTCCGCCTCCGTGAACACCCTGTACTCATCGTCCATCGCTTGAAAGGCGGTTCTTAGAGCCGCAATCACTGGGTCGCTCGTGGGACCCTGCACAGTGGAGGGAGACACAAACACACACACAAAGAGGGAGGGAGAGGAGTGGGCACGAGCAGCAATGACCGTCTGTCTGCTTCTCGGCCTCTGTGAACACGCAATACTCGTCGTCCATCGCCTGGAAGGCTGCCCTGAGGGCTGCAATCACTGGGTCGCTGGTGGGGCCCTGCACAGCGGAGGGAGACACAAACACACACACACACAAACAGGGAGACAGAGAGGAGTGGGCGCCAGCAGCAATGTGCTTCTGCTTCTCCGCCTCTGTGAACACACGATACTCGTCGTCCATCGCCTGGAAGGCTTTTCGCAGAGCTGCAATCACTGGGTCGCTCGTGGGACCCTGCTCACAAACACACAAAGAGGGAGAGAGAGAAATGACTGGGCATGAGCAGCACAGTGATTCTGCTTTTCCGCCTCTGTGAACACCGTCATCCATCGCCTCTGTACTCGTAAACCCACCTTCTCGCAAGCGAACGCCAGCCTGTCCTCGGCCTCGAGAGCTGGCAGTGAGTTGGCGAGTGAGAGGCAAAAGAGCAGTGCCTGCCTGTCAAACGCACCCACGCTCTCACAGTCAAGTGGAGCCAAAGCCACCCACCCACCTTTTCGCAAGCAAACGCCAGCCTGTCCTCTGCCTCGAGAGCCGGCAGCGAGTTGATTGAGAGAAGGCGAGGCTATCCCAGGTATGAGAGGGAAACTCCCTAGGTCTTTCTCACCTTTTCGCACGCGAATGCCAGCCTGTCCTCGGCCTCCAGAGCCGGCAGCGAGTTGGCGCCCAACGACGCCACTGCTGCCTCCACGGCTGACGTCAGCAGCGCTGACGTGGCGTCCGACAGCTGGCAGGGATAGAGCTCCGGGTTGACCTGCGGGGGGCCGGGGCAGGGAGGGGAGAGGATGGTGGTGGTAGGAGCGGGGGTATGAGTGAAGAGGGGAGGGGGAAGGGGTGAGGGTAGAAGGAATGGAGAGGGAGGAACAGAGACAGGGTTCAGGAGAAGGGAAGAGTGAGGGCGGGCAGTAAATGGACTAAAGGATGGGGATAGGATGGGGATGGGGATGGGGATGGGGATGGGGATGGGGATGGGGATGGAGATGGGGATGGGGATGGGAATGGGGATGGGGATGGGGATGGGGATGGGAATGGGGATAGGGATGGGGATAGGGATGGGGATGGGGATGGGGATGGGGATGGGGATGGGGAAGGAGATGGGACGGAAAGAGGAAGAGACGAGATGAGGGGAGGGGAAGTGGGAAAGGGGGCGGAAAAAGATGCATGAGACAATCAGAGCACAGAGCACCCACTCCTACACGCAGCCCTCTCCCTTTAATCAATTCCACCTGCTATGGCCAGTAATTCGCATAGCATCCGTCCAGTCATCTCCCCGCCCTTCTACGCACTACCTCACAATCCACTCACCACCTCGCTTGCCACCCACCCCCCGCCTCCCTTGCTACCCACCCACCGCATCCCTTGCCACCCACCCACCGCATCCCTTGCCACCCACCCACCGCATCCCTTGCCACCCACCCACCGCATCCCTTGCCACCCACCCACTGCCTCCCTTGCCACCCACCCACCGCCTCCCTTGCCACCCACCCACCGCCTCCCTTGCCACCCACCCACCTCCTCCCTTGCCACCCACCGGCCAGGTCTTCTTCACAGGGATCTTCCTCTGTCCTCGAATGCAATCTCATCGTCGCTCGCCTGTGCCACTCTGTGAGGGGAGAGGAGAGTGAGAGTGAGAGTGAGAGCGAGAGTGAGAAAGATAATGTGAGGGAGGAGGAAAAGAGATGTTCATCTTGCCCGCGAATGCAATCTCATTGTCCACTCTGCAAGGGGAGAGAGGACAGGGCAGGGGAGCAACAGTGGGAGACGAAGAGTGTGTGATTGAGTGAGAAAGAGGGTTCCACACTGTTTCCCAGCTCAAACTTCTCACGGTTTGAGAAATTCTCTTCCCTCTTCTCATGGTTTGAGAAATTTTCTTCCCTCTTCTCATGGTTTGAGAAATTCTCTTCCCTCTTCTCATGGTTTGAGGATTCCTCTTCCCTACCTCCCCCATCACCATCTACCCCAGTCACCACCAGCACCCACCTGGGCATGAGAATCGTCCCGTGCCTGAGTCAAGCCATGAATGAACTCCGCATTGCTTCCCAGCAGAATGTCCCCCAGTTGCCACTTCCCCCAGTGCCCACCCGCACCTGCGCAAGTACCAGGTGAGCAGCTACCACCTCCCTCAGTCCCCACCCACCTGTGCAGATACTACCTCCCCGCACCTGGGCATGAGCATCTCCCTGAGCTTGAGGCGGGCCATGAACTCCGCATTGCCTCCCAGCAGAATGTCCGTTCCTCGCCCCGCCATGTTCGTTGCAATGGTCACTGCGAGGGGAACAGGGATGTACAAGAAAGAAAGAAAGAAAGAAAGAAAGAAAGAAAGAAAGAAAGAAAGAAAGAAAGAAAGAAAGAAAGAGAGAAAGAGAGAAAGAGAGAAAGAGAGAAAGAGAGAAAGAGAGAAAGAGAGAAAGAGAGAAAGAGAGAAAGAGAGAAAGAGAGAAAGAGAGAAAGAGAGAAAGAGAGAAAGAGAGAAAGAGAGAAAGAGAGAAAGAGAGAAAGAGAGAAAGAGAGAAAGAGAGAAAGAGAGAAAGAGAGAAAGAGAGAAAGAGAGAAAGAGAGAAAGAGAGAAAGAGAGAGAGAGAGAGAGAGAGAGAGAGAGAGAGAGAGAGAGAGAGAGAAAGAGAGAAAGAGAGAAAGAGAGAAAGAGAGAAAGAGAGAAAGAGAGAAAGAGAGAAAGAGAGAAAGAGAGAAAGAGAGAAAGAGAGAAAGAGAGAAAGAGAGAAAGAGAGAAAGAGAGAAAGAGAGAAAGAGAGAAAGAGAGAAAGAGAGAAAGAGAGAAAGAGAGAAAGAAAGAAAGAAAGAAAGAAAGAAAGAAAGAAAGAAAGAAAGAAAGAAAGAAAGAAAGAAAGAAAGAGGCAAGAAAGAAGGAGCAAGAAGGTGTGTTTTGAGTCGCCTTGACAAACGAACCGAGGCTTTGTGGCCGAAGCAACTTTTGAGGCGCCTCAAAGGTCAATGTGACAAGGGGCTCGCTCACCTTTCACATTTCGAGCCACTCAAAATGGTGGCCAGAGGAAAATGGTGAGAGCCCAGTGCCTCACGACCATTCACGAAGTCAGCCTGGTCAGCCCCAGCCGACCAGGGTAACTTGTAACTCGACTCAAAAAGTCACCCCAGCAACTCAGCACTGACCAGCGCCCAGGCCGCCGCTCTGAGCAACAATTTAGGCTTCTCTTTCAACATTCTCCAGCTTGGCGTTGAGCACCTGGTGCTTCACCCCCGCCTCCTTGAGGCGCGCCGACCAGCAACCCTTGTTGCCTCACCCCTGGCCTGTGTCGAAAGGACTCACCTGAGCATTTTCAGCCTGGAAACTGTGAGAAGACAGCAGGGGATGAAATCACCCACCCAACCAACCACTCTCAGTACTCACCACCTCCAAGGCGGCCGCTCTGTGCGACGATCTCTGCTTCCCTCTCGACGTTCTCCGGCTTGGCGTTGAGCACCTGGTGCTTCACCCCCGCCTCCTTGAGCCGCGCCGACAGCCCCTCACTCAGCTCCACACTGGTCGTGCCCACCAGCACACCCACCAGCACCCTTGAGCCGAGTGCCTCACCTCACCTTGGTCATTTTCGGCCCTGGAAACACAGGGCCACGGTGTTTCATGAAACGCCCCACTCTCAGTACTCACAACCCCCAAGGCGGCCGCTCTGTGCGACGATCTCTGCTTCCCGCTCCACATTCTCGGGCTTGGCGTTGAGCACCTGGTGCTTCACCCCCGCCTCCCTGAGGCGCGCCGACAGCCCCTCACTCAGCTCCACACTGGTCGTGCCCACCAGCACCCCCACCAGCACCCTTGAGCCGAGTGCCTCACCTCACCTTGGTCATTTTCGGCCCTGGAAACACAGGGCCACGGTGTTTTATGAAACGCCCCACTCTCAGTACTCACCACCTCCAAGGCGGCCGCTCTGTGCGACGATCTCTGCTTCCCTCTCCACATTCTCGGGCTTGGCGTTGAGCACCTGGTGCTTCACCCCCGCCTCCCTGAGCCGCGCCGACAGCCCCTCACTCAGCTCCACACTGGTCGTGCCCACCAGCACCGGGCGGCCCATTTTGTTCATACGTGCCACCTCCACCACCACCGCCCGCCACTTGCCGTCCGCCGCCCGGAACACCACGTCTGACTCGTCCTGGTGGGAGGGATTAGGGGGAGGGGAGAGCGACGGGAAGGGAAGGAGGGAGAGGGGCAGCAAGGAGTGCGTGAGGCTTCAATTCAACCTGCACCTCCACCACCACCGCCCGCCATTTGCCGTCCGCCGCCCTGAAGACCACATCTGACTCGTCCTGGTGGGATTAGGGGGAGGAGAGGGCGACGGAGAGGGAAGGTCAGAGAGGGGGCAAGGATTAGGTTGAGTGGGTGAGGCTTCAACCACCACCGCCCGCCACTTGCCGTCTACAGCCCTGAACACATCACGTGCCGCCACTTGACGTCTGACTCGTCCTGTTGGGAGTAGGGAGAAAAAGGGACGGGGAGGGTGGGGGAGCAGGGGGGATGGTGAGTGGATTAAGGCTTTACTTTCCAACACCTCACGTGCAATCTACCTCGAGCTATTACACGAAATCAGTCAGATAGAAACACGAGCATCCAAGCCCGTGTTCTCCTCTTTCGCACCTTGCGGCCAGCAGGGCGGTTGGTGGGGGTCTCAGTGACAGTGAGCTTGTAGATGCTCGTGAGACCAGCTGAACGCACCAACCAACACGAGCAGCTGTCCGGTCCGCCCCACACCCTGTGCCCTGCAAGCCTGTCTATTCCACACCACACCACGCACACACCTTGTGGCCAGCGGGGCGGTTGGTGGGGATCTCAGTGACGGTGAGCTTGTAGATGCTCGTGAACTCGGCTGCCTCTGTGGCCGCTGTGCCAGTCATGCCGCACAGCTTCGGGTACTGCAGGGAATGAGAAGGGGGGCGGCAGGGGAGGAAGAGGGTGAATGAGCTCGTGATCTCAGCCGCTTCCGTGGCCGCTGTGCCAGTCATGCCGCACAGCTTCGGGTACTGCAGGGAATGAGAAGGGGGGCGGCAGGGGAGGAAGAGGGTGAATGAGCTCGTGATCTCAGCCGCTTCCGTGGCCGCTGTGCCAGTCATGCCGCACAGCTTCGGGTACTGCAGAGCAGGTCATGAAAGGGGAAGGGAGGCGGGGTTGGGGAAGAGGAGAGATTGTTGAGAGATGGTGAAGCGGGAGAAAGGGTAGAGGTATGCGAGGTGGGTGGGTGATACGGTAATGCTTCCTGCGAGGAGCTGCAGGATGCTTCCCGCGACTTGCAGGTGGAAGATGTGCTGCTGCTTCAGTGAAGATGCGTTCCTTGGCAATTCTCTCAAAACGAAGGGAGCTTCATATGCGCGCGCGAGCAATAGCAGAAAAACACGGACGGACCTGCAGGAAGAAGTTCTGGTAACTGATGGAGGCGAGCGTGACCGTCTCGTTCTGAATGGTGAGACCCTCCTTCGCCTCCACTGCCTGGTGCAGCCCCTCACTCCACCGCCGACCCTGAGAGGAGGAGGGAGGAGAGCGCAGGGAGAGTTCTCAGGTATGAGAATGAAAGGGACGAGTGGCAGTCACATAAGAGGCAAGGGGGATGGTGAGACCCTCCTTCGCCTCCACTGCCTGGTGTAGACCCTCACTCCACCGCCGACCCTGGGATGGGAGGAGGGAGGAGAGCGCAGGGAGAGTTCTCAGGTATGAGAATGAAAGGGACGAGTGGCAGTCACATAAGAGGCAAGGGGGATGGTGAGTCCCTCCTTGGCCTCCACTGCCTGGTGTAGACCCTCACTCCACCGCCGACCCTAGGATGGGAGGACGGAGGATGGCAGCACAAGGAAGGTTGGCAGTCAGTCAAGCACCCAATGAATCCGTCCACCTTCCCCCACCCCCTCTTTGACGTTGTACTGCACTGCACGTCTCTCAGGAAGAGCTCTTAGGCCTTTATTGCGTTGATCACGTATGACGCCCAATGCCCCGCCCCACCCCTCCTCCCTCGCACTGTCCCTTACCCTGCTCTCCTCACTCACCTCCATGATTCGCCCGGTGAACTCATCCACGGTCAGAATCCCTCCGCCCTTCACAATGTATTGAACATCCCGCAGGAAGAGCTCTTTGGCCTTGATGGCGTTGGTCACGTACCACGCCCAATACCCCGCCCCACCCCGCCCCACCCCTCCTCCCTAGCACTGTCCCTTATCCTCCTCACTCACCTCCATGATTCGCCCAGTGAATTCATCACATCAACAATCAAGATCCCTCCGCCCTTCACAATGTACTGAACATCCCTCAAAAACAGCTCCTTGGCCTTGATGGAGTTGATGACGTACCACGCCCACTGCTCCCACCCTCTTTTTGTTGCAACCAGCCTAAGCATAACCATCATCCCCTGTCACGCACCTCCATGATTCGCCCGGTGAACTCATCAACGATCAGAATCCCTCCGGCCTTGACAATGTACTGAACGTCCCTCAGGAACAGCACCTTGGCCTTGATGGCATTGATCACGTACGACGCCCACTGCTCCCGCGGGTCGTACAGGTCGCTCACTCCCAGCAGCGTCTCTGCTTCCTCGTAGCCCTCTTCCGTGAGAAGCACCGCCTTCTGCTTCTCGTCCACCTGGGGTGGGGAGAACAAGGAAAAGGTGGGGAGGGGGGGGGGGGGGGTCGTACAGGTCGCTCACTCCCAGCAGCGTCTCTGCTTCCTCATAGCCCTCCTCTGTGAGGAGCAAGGCTTTCTGCTTCTCGTCCACCTGCCACAGGAGGAACAGGGAAAAGGTAGGGTGGGGGGGGGGAGGATCGGGTCGTACAGGTCGCTCACTCCCAGCAGCGTCTCGGCTTCCTCGTAGCCCTCCTCAGTGAGGAGTACCGCCTTCTGCTTCTCGTCCACCTGGCATGGGGGGCAAGGGTGGGGGGAAGAGGAGGGGATTGTAAGAGCAGGTCGTTCACTCCCAGCAGCGCCTCTGCTTCCTCGTACCCTTTTTCAGTCAGCAGCACTGCCTTTTGCTTCTCGTCCACCTGGAGTGGGTGGGAGGGGTCCGGTGGGGTAGGGAGTGCGGATTAGGAGGGGGGGAGAGGGGATTGGAAGAGCAGGTCGTTAACTCCCAGCAGCGCCTCCGCCTCCGCGTACCCTCCCCTTCACCCTCACTTACTGTGTAGTGCGCGTCGCGCACAAAAGCACCGGCCAGCTTGGCAGTCTTGTAGTATCAAGGTTCATGATGGGAGTAGCAGCAAACTTATGAGAAAACGCTTAGCAAAAGGATCAAGACTTGTGATACTTGTTCCTAGAGATTAAAAGAAGATCTCAAAGCCTCCAAACCTCGAAAAACCCTTAATCGCATAAAAGCACCGGCCAGCTTGGCAGTCTTGTAGTAGCGCTCGCTTGCTGTGCTTCTCCCCTTCCTTTCCCCCACCCGCAACCGCCCACCACACACCCATACCCAAACACAAACACCCACCGTATAGTGCACGTCGCGCACGAAGGCATTAGCCAGCTTGGCAGTCTTGTAGTAGCGCTCGCTCGCTGTGCTTCTCCCCTTCCTTTCCCCCACCCGCAACCGCCCACCACACACCCATACCCAAACACAAACACCCACCGTATAGTGCACGTCGCGCACGAAGGCATTAGCCAGCTTGGCCGCCTTGTAGTAGCGCTCGCTGGGCTTCTCCCCTTCCCTTCCCTCAACCCACAGCCTAACCCCCACTACTTACTGTGTAATGCACGTCGCGCACGAAGGCATTAGCCAGCTTGGCCGCCTTGTAGTAGCGCTCGCTGGGCTTCTCTGCCGGCCCCGAGATGATGAGCGGCGTGCGCGCCTCGTCGATGAGGATGGAGTCGACCTCGTCGATCACACAGTAGTGGAAGTCCGGGAGGACCAACTCGTCCTTGGTCTGGGTTGCATGAAAAAGGGGATGGGGACGGGGGACACGGGGGTGGTGGGGGACAAACAAGGGGGAGTGAGAATGGACTCCACCTCGTCAATCACACAGTAGTGGAAATCAGGCAGGACCAACTCGTCCTTGGTCTGGGTTGGGATGTGTACGGGGTGAGGGGGAGGTGGAGGGGAACGGGGGAAAAGGGGAGGGGTGGTGAGGGTGTGGAGTCCACCTCGTCGATCACACAGTAGTGGAAGTCGGGCAGCACCAACTCGTCCTTGGTCTGAAGCGCATAATAAAGGGGATGAGGAAGTGGGGAAAAGGGGGGAAAGGGGAGGGGGGGTGGTGAGGGTGAGAATGGAGTCGACCCCGTCAATCACACAGTAGTGGAAGTCCGGCAGCACCAACTCGTCCTTGGTCTGAATTGAGTTGGGTTGTTCACAGGGATGGGGGGTACACGGAAGGAGGGGAGAAGAGGGGGACATGCGGCCCCGAGATGATGAGCGACGTGCGCGCCTCGTCGATTACACAGTAGCGGAAGTCGGGGAGGGCCACCTGTCACATACGTCACATCACACGCATAGCTCTCCCTCCTCTTGAGGCGTCTCACAAGGCAGGAGACGGCGCATGCAGGGCGCTGACAGTGGCGAGGTTTTCGTGGAAGGAGGAGGGAGAGGGAGAGGGAACACGGAGAGAGCAGGGAGAGGGGAGAGGGGAGAGGGGAAAGAGGCCAGGCAGGTGCATGCAGGGCGCAAGGAGCTTACAGTGGCGAGGTTGCCCCGGAGGAAGTCAAGTCGAACCCCAGCTTGCTGGGGCATGCAGGGGGCATGCAGGGGGCATGCAGGGGGCTCACTGTATGCATGGCAGGGCACTCACAGTGGCGAGGTTGTGGCGAAGAAAGTCGAAGCCCAGCTCGCTGTTGGTCACATACGTCACATCACAAGCATAGCTCTCCCTCCTCTGCTGCGCGTCCATGCCCTCTGCCATGACCACATGCGTGAGGTTAAGGGAAGAGAGTGGTGATTTGTGGAGGGAGAATCGGTAAGGGAGGACAACAGTACAGAGAAAAGTCATCATGTACTACGTGATGAGGACGATCGTCATTGACAGTCATCACGTGCACGCCCGCGTACCTCATACAGCCACCCTCGCTCGTTACAGTCACACTCGCTACAGGCACATTTACTCATTACAGTCCCACTCACGCTGGATAAGGCCGACGGAGAGGCCCAGGAACTTGTGAACCTGCCCCACCCACTCGGCGTCACGGCGGGCGAGATAGTCGTTGACTGTGACCACGTGCACGCCCCTGTAACTCATACAGTCACTCCACTCGTTACAGTCACACTCGCTACGGACACGTTCATTCGTTACAGTCCCACCCACTCACGCTGAATGAGGCCGACGGAGAGCCCGAGAAACTTGTGAACCTGCCCCACCCTCTCGCAAGGTTCGAAAATACGGTCGTTAATTTTAAATTGCTCTACGCTTTCCCACAGGAGCCTATTATACGAAACCGTTTTTTACCATAACTTTTCAAAAAAACGACCGTATTTTTAATCCTTGCCCTCTCGGCGTCACGGCGGGCGAGGTAGTCGTTGACTTGACTGTGACCACGTGCACGCCCTACACAACCACAATCGCTCATTACAATTACACTCGTTACGATCCCACCCACTCAGTCCCACTCACGCTGGATAAGGCCGACGGAGAGGCCCAGGAACTTGTGCACCTGCCCCACCCACTCGGCGTCGCGGCGGGCGAGATAGTCGTTGACTGTGACCACGTGCACGCCCCTGTAACTCATACAGTCACTCCACTCGTTACAGTCACACTCGCTACGGACACGTTCATTCGTTACAGTCCCACCCACTCACGCCGACGGAGAGTCCGAGAAACTTGTGAACCTGCCCCACCCTCTCGGCGTCACGGCGGGCGAGGTAGTCGTTGACTTGACTGTGACCACGTGCACGCCCTACACAACCACAATCGCTCATTACAATCACACTCGTTGCAATCCCACCCACTCCGTCCCACTCACGCTGGATCAGGCCGACGGAGAGCCCCAGGAACTTGTGAACCTGGCCCACCCACTCGGCGTCGCGGCGGGCGAGGTAGTCGCTGACGGTGACGACGTGCACACCCCTGCCTGTGAGCGTACCTCATTGAGTCACACCCACTCGTAACAATCACACTCCCTACAGTCCCACTCACGCTGAATGAGGCCGACGGAGAGGCCCAGGAACTTGTGCACCTGCCCCACCCACTCGGCGTCGCGCCGGGCGAGGTAGTCGTTGACTGTGACGACGTGCACGCCCCTGCCTGTGAGCGCGTTCAGGTACGCCGGCAGCACCGCCACCAGCGTCTTGCCCTCCCCCGTCCGCATCTCCGCTATCTGCCCCCTGTGCAGCACCATGCCGCCTGGGGGGGGGGGGGACGGGGGGAGGAGGGATGCGGAACGGAAGGGGGGACGCAGAGAGGGAGGGGGTACGTGGAGAGGAGGTGTAATAACACCCCGAGACAGAGAAGTGACGTTGAGGCAGGTAGCAGGTGTTGCAGGGGGATGGAGAGAAATGTCAAAGGGGTGGGGGGGTGTTGTGGGAGGGTTTGGGGAGAAGGAAACAGCAAAGGCTTTGAGAGCCTCTATCCCGCCCCGTCAATCAGACCCACCCCAGAGGAGGCTGAGAACTTACCGTCTATCCCGTCAATCATTGCTCTAAGACTTACCAATGAGCTGCACGTCGAAAGGGCGGAGGCCGAGAACGCGTTTGGAAGCTTCGCGCACCACGGCAAACGCCTCCTGCAGAACAGACAGGCAGGCAGGCAAGCAGGCAGGCAGGCAGGCAGCGAGAGAGAAATCCGGGAATAAACATATATTCACAGAATCGAATCGACAAAACGGTCCGATTCGTCAGAAGTTAGTAAGCCGCAGAATACCAATGCTATTGACACGTAGGTCGGACTTTGCCTTCGCAAACGAATCAAACTAATCCGCGACAATCGGCAGCGCCATTTGTAGAGCTGGTCCGACATACTGAGTATAGTGTGCGTGGCTTGTTAAAACACAACGACCGACGTTCTGGCTTGCTGACCGAGCGCATTTCGCAAAATTCTCAAGCTGCGGTCGTCTTAGGTAACCAGAACGAATGAATCTTACGATGAATTCGTGGCTCCAGCGAACTCTGTTTCATCCTCGAACAAAACTCGTCTTTTCTTCTACGTACTTTACAACCCATGAATTTATCCGCGATCTTCGCATGCGCGTTTGCAGACTTTCTACTTGCGTCAATGTAACATCTAAGACGCTCTACGCTGCGAATATTACGCCTCCTTTCCTAAAATTATTATTAACGCTTTTATGAAATTAACCTACAACCTGGTAATTGGAGTTGAGGCAGCGCGCTGATCTCTGAGTTGACATAAAAATCGTTTTCAGAGGGGACCTGGTAGATTGGACTTACAGGCAGAGCGCTGTCCAGTGATTCGCCCGCCGCGACGCGTTTCTTGAGGTCAACGGTCATGGCGCGCAGCTGGTCGTCCGTCATCTTCTGCATCACCGGCTCCAGCTTATTCACCTCCACCACGCGGTCCGCGTACTGCTGACGTGTCTTCTCCGCGGGGTCTCCTCCGCCGAACAATCCCCCAAGCATTCCCCCCATGCCTCCAAGCGCAGATGTCGCCGTTCCAGATCTACCTGCCTTCGCTCCTGCCGACTTAGGGCCGGCGGAACGATTCGAAGAGTTCGCGGGAGACGGGGATTGCAGGCAGACAGGGGTGCTAGGAGCAGCGGGAACGCTCGGAGCGGCCTCTGGGACGGCCTGAGAAGGCAGTGTGAGCGACATTCTAGATGCTCCCTTATAGAAGCTGCTATTCTTGCTCGCGCTGCTATTGTTAACGCCATCGAAGCTGGCGCGGCGACGCTGATTCACGGGCTTAGAGGAGAGGGAATAAGTAGCGTTTGGGGCTGATGGTCGGAGAGAAGCGGCAGGACCCGCGCGGAGATCAGCGCACGCAGAAGCGAGCAAATGCGAAGCCATGGCTGCCGCTGGTGCGTGCTGAGAGTCAGGCGGTCAAAAGAACCGCACAAAACTAACCTGCTCCTAGTTGTCGTTAGGCCTACTACCTTTAGGAACAAAGTACTGTACGGTGATCCCAGAGGAGTGACGTATTCTAGAAGGGAGAATCAAGGGAACATGTGTGGGTTTGCGAATCAATGAGGTGGAAGGACATGATTGGACGAGGGTGGATTGCTGTTTCGGTAAAGGTAAAGGTAAAGGGTGGATTGCTGTTTCGGATGGGCAAACTCACCAAGCGGGAGCACTGAAACATTCCCCATACAGTATTACCAAATCCAATACACCCAGAAAAACACTTCTGGTGCTCCTCGATTCAGGCCCTGTTTTCATGACCACAGTTCTGCGCGGGGTTTTAATATTTGCACAGAGAGCTCCCTCGGAGCGTTTCCATCTGTGTCTCAGGGTACGTTCTTAGCCTGTGTCAAGTTTCCTGACACAAGGTTTCGACAGCTCCGATCGTTCCTGAGAACGCACCCTCAATTGTTTGAAAAGGGGTTGGGGAAAAATATATCTACTTGCTGAAGTGGACGACATGGAAGGAGCTGGGCCACCTATTTACGATTGTGGGGAACATGAGCGTTATCTTCGCCATAAGCCATCAATTTTGGAACTGCAGTAGTAATACAATGCTACTTCTGAAGTATTTCCTACTACTTCTCCTATAACCAGTTCATGAAATGCTTCACAAAAAATGTCCTTCCTGAGGTCTGAAACATTGCATCACCATAAATTATGAATAACTGATGATACAAAAGAACATTTCACGTCTATATCTGCTAAGTTACTATATGCTTTCTAATCTACCCTAGATAGCTAGCTGCTTCTCCTCCTGCTGCTCCCACAATGTATCAATTGAGCACAGGATTTCAAGGTCAGTTGGATCAACATCGACCTTCTGGGATTCATAAGTGAGGGGTGTGCATGGGGATGGATAGCCCGAGAGCCATGGAGACTGGCATTGCAGCAAGTCATCTACCCCACCAGCAGGCATGTTCAGGTCGGGAATGGTGGCTCTGGAATCTGAGGCAGCAGACCCGTCCATTGGCTCACAAAGGTGAGCCATCAAGGCTTCCATATGGTGATTTCCTGAGTCTGGTGTCTGCTCCTGCCCAACAGACAGTATTGTTAGTCCCACTTGCCCCTTACTTCTAAAATAATCACCCCAACTTGGTACAGCGTCGCAGCTTTCGCCAACGGCTGCAACAAAATTTCTTGCGAGGCTCTGTGATTCTGGTGGTAACGAACTTCCATCAGCAAACGCCTCAGCTTCATATGCTTTCCGGAGCTGCATCTGTGACTCCGTCATTTGAAGGCTATCAGGCTGCTCAAATATTTCCGCTTCTCTTGCGAGAATCTGCAACCTCCTTTCCCCAGAAGATGCTGAAGCATCAGAAAAGCTGCACGCATGACCGTCACAAGTACCATATCGGGCGTTTTCGTGCTCGTCAAATTGCGGCGAGCGGCGCCCCCTGACCAGCTGCGTAGGCCGCGGACTTCGTGGCGCTGTTGCCCCGTCGAGCCTGTATTTGGAGGCCCCACTTGTGATCATGGCGTACAAGCTCGACGCCCTTTTAGGTGAAAAACGATGCTCCGATGAAGCTGCGGAAATGGTTTTGCCACGCCCAGGAGAACCCTCAGGTTTTGAACACTCTAAGTTGTAAGAAGCCTAAAATCGAGCCAAAAAAGTGATAGTACTAATATGGAAGGTAGCTTCCACTCCTGCACACAAATGGAAGATATGTGAACGACGTCGTCGGACAATGACAGGGGGATGGTCTCGTTGCTATCAAGCTCCGACCGAGTCGCCCTTGCTTCTGCAGTCGGTATGGCAGCGCGTGAGAACCATGATCATGAACGCAGTCTCTTTTTAAAGGAGAATGCATTGCACGGTTGATAGTCCTGAAAAGAATGCGGTGATACGTAACGTTTTCCAACGATCAGATCTACAACCGTTGCGGCTATTATCAACCAATCCGCTTGCAATGAAATGCCGTCGAGCAGTGCTGCCCGTCCGTTTGGTCCCAAAATTTCAGGTCAGACGTATACAAAATCAAGATAAGGCGAGGTACATTAGGGTGTTCACAGAGCCTCTCGAACAAGAGTTCTGAAGAAGGGCAACAAGTGGTATAGCGCATCTTCAAAACGGTACTATACGGTATATTGTGGTGTTCCTACTTGCTCAAAGCTCGAACACCTCTTGAATTCAGATCTGCCACACCTTCTAGAAGAACCGCTATAAGTTCCGTACAGCAGGCTTGAGGATTGAAGAATAGGACATTTCTGGAGAGGATATTGGAATCTTCAAAGGCCTCGCAAGATCTGTGAATCTCCAACTGCAGCGCTGTAAAAGTGTATCGATCTGGCTGTTAGTTCCTCCCCGCTACTCTCTGCTCTCCCAGCTTGCTCGTATCTTGCCTTGCTTGAGTTGGTGAAGGCGAGGCGTTAGAGGGGGGAGGAGGGGTGAGCAAGTGTCCAGCTGTGCGAAGGAGATCCACCACATGTCACGTGGTAACTGCTGGATCACAATGTTGAAGATTGACGGGGATATCAGACTGTCGCATGTTTACCGTTGGATCGCAATCGTGGATCCTAAATCTCGCAAACTTCGTTTGGTGGAACCAAATCAGTTGGCAAAGCCCTCGCAAGATCACATGAAATCTATCAATTTTTCTCCGCTGTAGGCAAGCTGAGATTTCGGACTGAGAACGCTGTTTCATCGTCGACAGCTGACAGTGTTTATGCTATCGATAGAGACACAATGAAAGGGTTATACCGGTAATCTTGACTAGGGCAACACAAATTGGGCAATCCAGTTCTGGGCAAAAACTAGGGCGCACAATGCTGAGACATGTGCAAATTCTGGTGTTCCAAACAACAACCAGGACTAGGCAAGTCGTTTCCACATGTAAATGTAAAACAACTTCTAAACTTACACAAGCAAGCGGTCTGCCATCCATGCTTGGATCAAACCCCGTATTTACCAAATGGTGGTTGAAGATCTTCTGGTGTAACATTCAGCACATAGTTCGCCATGCCCGCCACGTCATCAACGATGATGCCATCCACCCCATGGTACTGCTGGAAATGCGCTGCATCCACGTCATCACTGCGACCACAACATGAAACATGCAAGCAGTGCAAAAAGTGCACGAATGACTCTCGGTGATGCCATAGAAGAGGAGAATATCTGCTTCCTTCACCAAGCGCACCACCAAGAATAGGCAGAGACGTTGACATGTGCGTGACATGAACGTCTGTTACAGAGTGCACGGGTCAGCGGGTGCACTCACTTAGTGGTGCCATAGGAGAAGAGCAGCAGACCCGCGTCCTTCACTGCTCGAATGGTGGCTGAGTCAGCAAGGAGCGTCTTCACTTCTGACACCACGCCAGCTAGGCCATCTGACGTGGAGCACACGGATTGGTGGGATGATAGACAATGGTGGTGGATGAAATTATGCGGAGCACATGGATTGGTGGGTGGGATGATGAGGAACACGAGAATACTGCATCCCAGCCCGCACAGTGTGCACGATAAGACTCACGGGCCTTGCAGTGTGCCACAGCAACTTGCACAGAGTTCATTCTCTCGTCACTGAAGCTGCCGCACCCCACCGTCAGAAACAGGACCTTCAGGGCCGTAAGAGATGCGAGTGGTTGAGAGCGGTTGGGAGTGGTCTGTGGTGGGTGGCCTGTGGTGTTGAATGCAACTCACGGGCCTTGCAGTGTGCTACGGCAGCTTGCACGGAGTTCATTCTCTCATCACTGAAGCTGCCGCACCCCACCGTCAGAAACAGGACCTTGAAGGGCACAAAGGGTGCGAGTGGAGTGGAGAGAGACACAGAACACGTACAAGGTGGGGAAAGGTAGGGACAAATGGGGGCAGGTAGGGATAAGACGATTTGGAGCCGAGAGTTTGTTTCTTTGAGTCGACTCAGAAGTCAATTTGTTTGTTTGTGTGTTTGTTTGTTTTTGGAACTTTCAACTGCCTCTACATACTGCGGGTGTGCTTGCCCTGCCTCATCTCGCCTTGCGTTTGCTCTGCCTCATGTTTTCTCCGAGCTTCAGCACTCCCTCCCTAGAACTTGCTACCTCCCTCCTCTCCTTGTGCTGCGTGGGATTCGCTCTTCCTGTAGCTTCAACACAGCATGACCATGACCACCCCCTCCTCTCCCTCCAGGACGCACACTGCATGAACATTCGCTGAACATTCACTGCTCTCCTTATGCTGGGAGAGGCATGAACTTGCACACTGCATCTTAACGTTGCAGGGAGTTTTTTTAAAAATCTCAAAAGCTCCCTCCATGACCACCCCCTCCTCTCCAGGACGCACACTGCATGACCATGAACATTCGCTCTCCTTGTACTGGGAGAGGAGGCACACTGCATCTTAGAATATTCTTGCAATGTGCCTCCTCTCCCTCGTCTCACCTCTTGCCTCCTCTCCCCCGCTTCACCTCTTGCCTCCTCTTCCCCGCTTCACCTCTTGCCTCCTCTCCCCCGCCTCACCTCTTGCCTCCTCTCCCCCGCTTCACCTGCTGCTTCCTCTCCCGCGCCTCACCTGGTGTTTGGATTGCCTTTTCTTCAGCTCCACAACAGCATCTGGCATGAAGGAGGAGAAGAAGAGAGGCCGCGATGCACAGCTTCGCCTTTCCATCATTTGCACTCTTCAGCACTTTCTCCCTGCATCTTGGACTCGCCTCACTGGCTGATTCCTCTCCCGCGCCTCACCTCATACTTCCTCTCCCGCGCCTCACCTCATACTTCCTCTCCCGCGCCTCACCTGGTGCTTGGATTGCCTTTTCTTCAGCTCTACGACAGCGTCTGGCATGAAGGAGGAAAAGAAGAGAGGCCGCGATGCACAGTGTGAATCCACTACCTGCATGCATGCATAGGGATTGCCGCATGGAGCATGCAGCATACAGCATACACCAAGCAGCATGCAGCATGCAGCATACATCACG